ATTAGTATTATTAGTATGGTGAATATAGACAAAAAGGTAAAATAATGTTATAAATAACGGTGCCCCGACAGCCGGGGACTTTGGAGAAATCTCCCATTTCTCCGTGACAAAAATATGGTCATCTATTTGGTAATGGTAACTGAACGCCTTGACAGCTTCGTAACAGTCCATAATCAACTAGAACTTCACAGAATTATGCTTTGGCGGTTCACAACATGCTCTGGCGCTTCACAGCATTATAATCCATCATTTAGCGATAGATCCCCTCACTCGTTCTTCTTCTCGCCATCAGACTTGTCTTCACTCTCTTCATCCGATCTGACGTCCGCCACGACACCGACAAACACAATTCTGTACAAAATTCTAAAGATTAAGAACAACCAGTAGGCGTTGACCAACTGCAATGCGGCAATCAAAATAAACACGATCGGTTGCGAGATCCAGCACTTGTACTGCTGGGTCTCCCAGTTCAACTCCCACAAGCCGATAGTCTTGAAGGTGGTCAAAACGGACCACAAAATCTTCAAATTGAGATAGTGGCGCATGTAAATCCACACACTGACAAAGACAGCAAAGAACGGCGCGGTCCCCCAGTGGTCGATGTAGTTCAACGTCTTGGACGTGGCAAGGAAAAAGTCGGACACATCCATGGTGATGTAAACAGCGACACCCATCCATGTGAAGTGGAAGCGGTAGGACAAGCCAATCAACAAGATGGTAACAATGTGGTGCAACACAAGCTCCTTAAAGTCCTTGCGCGGCTTTTCGACTTGGAGTGCGAGAATGAGCGACTGCTGGCACCAGAAGGATGCCTGGAACAAGTAGTAGAACTTGAACCAGAATTCGTGTTGCTTATGCGGAAAGTTCTCATAGAAGGCATCCGTGTTGAAATACCACAAGTCTGGCGCGTAGTTCTTCATGACTAAAAGCCCGAACGGCCCCATGGTTCCGTAGTAGAGCATCGAATAAGTCTGTTCCATGAAACGGTTCAACTTGCCCTCCTTCGTGATGCCGAACCAATTGACCGCGATCGGTCTCAACACCATTTGCATGGCAAATTCGCGGAAAAACGTGAAGAATACAATGAAGAACGCGACAAAACTCAAGTCCTTCAATCCCTTCCCGTACTCCTGCGGCTCGGTGCCCGGAATGGCGTACGACAATGTGACGAACTGGTGGAGCGGGTTGGTCTCAGTGTAGTTTCCCGACAACAAAAACATGACCCAGACAAGTCCCAAGATGAACAAAGGCGGCAACCACGTATAGCGCGTACTGAGCTCCTTGAGGGCTACCCCAATCTTTGCCACAAGGGTGTAGTCATTGGCGTCCTCCAGGGCCAAGGCGGCTAATCTCTCAGACTTGTGCTTGCTGGAGCTAGGGCGCGACTTCATCGTCGTGAGCGACGGTGTCGTATTATCCCCCAAATTAATGTTCCCCACCGAGGTGGAGCGGTTACGGCGTTGCGACATGATAGATGAGAAGGAAGCGAGGGAAGTAGAGGGAGAACCGGCCGGGTGGTATTTTAACGCGTCAAGCAAAAAGTATCGAGAAGGGCTAAGTCGCACACGACCCGGGATTCTGACGTGGTAGGGTGCGATTTCGCGGTATACTGAAAAAATAGGTTGCCGGGTTCAACACAGTGTAACTGCAGAGTGGTGAGGATTCACAAAATTGTTTGTTAAAAAATAGGTTATATTCATGGCAACCATCTAATTTTTCTAGTTTTAGTTCCTTTCCTTTGTAATTAATACAGGGTGGCGGTAAGAGAGAGTAAAAGGCCAAGCCGGAAACAGCTCTCGAGACCGGAATGCAGACGAGTTGTGATAGTCTGGGGTTTCATCCCTCGGAAATAGGGCCATGAAAAAAAAGCCTTCCTTACAGCTCAGAGCTTCTGGAGCCCAAATTAAATGGATAGAATCAATATGACTTGGGTCACATGAACCAATAAAAGCGTACCAGGATTACTTCCGTGATAAGCTTGTTTCGAATCAAGCCACTCATGTAAGTCGGCTGCTGCCTGCGCAGAGCGAAATATCCGCACGGTTATCACGGTTTATACCAGTTCATCTGGTAACTGCCTTAAACTTCTGACTTACTAACCTCCAGATATATTAATCCTCAATCTTACTAACCCTCCCAGTTTTCGAAGCTATTGAAACCCATTTCACGTCGCAGTAAGGGCACCAGAATTTCTCGTATGGAAACTGAATTTGACATTTGCTAAACGGATTAACCCGTATTATTCATTTTCTATAAATACTTGAAAACCCTTTAATTTACAAGAGGCATTTCTACACACATAAAATCAACACATTCTATTGACGGTATAACCCGGCATTGTACCGGTGAGCTATTGGTGAGGAAAGAGGTTAAAGACCTGGAGAGATGGAAGGTCTGGAAACAACCAAGACGAATGCACCACTATTTCCCTTATAATCAGCAGGGCACCCCACGTCTTGTGATCCATTCCAAAGGTTCAACTTGAACGCAAGCATCAACCTACACCTCCCTCTTACTCTCTCTTCCAACGAACCATTGGAACCAGGGGTTGGGACGCTAAATAGATACCCCCAACTGAGTATCTTGTGTTCCAGTGGTCGATGTACGAACACAAGGCGGTGGATAATGCAAGCTCTCTGCACATTTTGGTTTCGTCAATCTTCAAGTTGAACCCAGCGTGTCCAGCAGGAATCACCTCGCCGATGCGCTCTCTCACTTCAGATTCCTTCTCCCCCAAGTTGTGCACCCTCTCCAAAAACTTTCCTTGTGTGGTCCATTGGTAAGTGTGGCCATCCGCCAACTCAAACACACGGTAGCTGTCAATCGCATCCACTCTGTGATTAAGCACATGCCATCCCAACTCGGACGCCGGGACCTCCGGAGCTCTAATCAACAAAACGTTGGATCTCAAGCCGGCTCTGACCGCAGCTACCGGCTCATCTGCTCCGTCTATCCCCGTACCAGTGATGTCACTAGAATACATTTTGTACGCGCCCTTAACCGAACGTGATCTCACAAACCAAAAAAGCTTATCGTTGTGGTTGGTGGAGCCGTTGGCGCCTGAACCCTCGGCCTTGGTATCGTAAACATCGTAAATCTTCGACCCAGACCCAAAACGGTGTCTCACCGCGTACTCAGAAACGTTCTCTGGCAATTCGAGAATTGTAGGGATGTAGCGTGAAGCCCGGCGGTGGGGATGAAATACAAGCGCCTTGGCCCGCACCACTGGTCTCATAATTGGAGAAAGAATAAGTTCAATTGGCATCTTAAAAGTCGGAATGAGGTAGCAAAGAAACAGTGCTTGATACGATTTTAAAGATGGAGGACTTTCTAGGCCAGAGTTTGCCTTAAATATCACGAACCCGGTTAAGAAACCAGCCATATGTGCCAAACGCGTTTGTGGTGGTTCCAAGGGCCGCACGAAGGCGTATGCACACAGAATTCTGGGCTAAGAGGCTATTCTCCAGGTTAGGGACGTCGCATAGCTGTCAATACTTTTCTACTGACATGACAGCTAGCCACTTCAGAACTAAGTGTTAGTGTCTGGGGGATATTTTAGATTCAAAGGTACACTTCAATAATAGGCATTTTAATATCTAACAGATAGTCATGACGGGAAAATGCCTGCGTAGCGTAATGGTTAACGCGTTTGACTTCTAATCAAAAGATTGCGAGTTCGACTCTCGCCGTGGGTTCTACTTTTTAATAATCTGAGCTGTTGTTTTGGCTATAAAAATCCAACGGCAAAGAATAATAAATTAGTCCCATAGGAAGATACTCCTAAGCCTGTTTGATATACACCTTTGTCCGATCCCATAAACAGTCAAGCAAAGCTACACTACAAGTCCCTCATCAAGTGGAAATGATTGCCAGCGTTTACTCTCCGCTGAATTTATCTCCCGCTAGTCACTACACAATGCAAAGCTGCACACACGTTTATAAAATAAGGGAGTTCAAAAGAGAGAGAAAAATCGCTTATAGTCCTCGCCTAGATATAGAACAACTGCGTTCTTCTCTTCTCCAACTTGCTGACGCTCTGTTGCATCTTCAATCTCTGGATCTCTGCCTGGGCATCCTCTTCGCACCAAATGGCGTTATCAATCACGTAGTAGTCGGCGTCAATGTGCTTGTCACAGCACATACAGGTCAAGCAGTGTAAGTGGAAAACGTCGTTGATCTCGTTCTTAATACACTCCCCTTCCACACCCTGATGGCAAACGGTGCACAACGAATGGTTCAAGACGTGGTAGTGCTGGTGGCAGTAAGGCTTGTCGCCAAATACGTACACCGCAATTGTCTTGTTGAACTTCAAGCCGCACTCGTAACAACTGAAGCAACCCCTGTGCCACTGGCCAGATAACTCGCCCGTTGTGGAGTAAATTGGCTTTCTCTCAATTACCTGCTTGCATTTGCGACACGGACCCTGGCCGGAGGGGTACTTCTCTCCAGCGGCCTCCATACCAAGCTCTACGGCTTGATCTCTATCGCCAATAGTACGTCTTGGCGGAATGTCAACGTCAGCAAGGGTGCTGTTGAATGAAAGATTGTAGTCGTCGTTGCAAGTGTTTTGGGTATTGTAGTCATTGTTGTAGATGTTGTTGTAAACGTTATCTTTGAACTGAGGAACGTCCCTATATGGATCAGAATAGGAATTGTCTCTAGCCTCTACTTTATAGCCATCTTTGTGCTCTCTATGATCTCCGTGAACCTCCTGGAAAAAATCTTCGTAGGGTTGGGTGTCATAGCTAGGATCGTAGTCCACTCTTTGCTCTTCTCTCAGGCGATACTCTCCGTTATCCTGTGTTGCAGTTTTGCCGTACTCGCTGTGAGCGTAAGGCTCTCCGTGGGAGGCATTTCCCAGATCCGAGGCGTTTCCTAGATCTAAGACGTTTCGGTGGGAGTTGGCAGTAGAGGTGGAGTTGTTCCTGGACTTTCCAAATGACAAAGGCTTCACTGGAACGTCAAAGTCAAAGCTGCAAGAGGTGCCAAACGTGGTATCTGCAAGATTCTGGTACGGATCTTCAAGGGAATTTTCAAACAGTTCGCCAAAAGCGTCCACCAGCATGGCAGATGGAATTGGGGGAGCGCCAGAGCCAAGGGACGACCTCTCAGTCGCATCGGATTGGTGTTTAGCGTGAATCAGAGTCAGTGGGAGCTTTGAATCAGGCAGGTGGACATCACCACCGGTCAAGACACCCTGTGGTTGGGTGGGTGGATAGAGGGGCTGCCTAAGAAACTCATGGTCCATGGTTTTAAGATTGGCCGCGTTGTCCACGCTGAAGGACGGAATGTTGCGAGGTTCCACAATCGAAAACTCTGGATCAGAGTTATTGAACGAAGGAGCATCGTTATGGGACCTCACATTTTGAAGCCCTGGCTCTTCACTGCTGTAGATACCTTCGGCTACAGGAGCCAGAGTTGCCAAGTCTTCGGATACCATAGCCGTATCAGGAAGAGATGCCTTTGGGGTAAAATCTTCGGGAAGTGGCATCAAGGCGGTGTTGAATGCCGCTGGATATGGCACCTTTACCTCCCCCTTATCGTTGCTTTCTACGAGCACCGCTGGGAGAGGCGGAGCCTTGAAGGCGCTGAACATATTCCCGTCGTCGCCTTCAGCCCCTTGCGAGAAGTGCTTGCCTTCAAACAAACCCGGCATCGTTTTGCGCTTATAGTCACCACTTTCAAACTCGTTTTCGTTGTCACTCTTGGACAAAATCGAGCTCACCATGCTGAACGCACTCACACGATTAGTTTGGTCCATCCGAGTATGGGCCGGCTCCAAGTTATCCACCGTCAAATACAGGGGTCTGTGATCTGCCGCGGGTTCGGCCAATGGTTTCTTGTTTTGGTACAACTCGCTCTTCAACATGTCTAAATGAGCGTTCAAGTCAGTTTCCTTCTGGAAGTTCCTGAACTGCTGTTCGACCATCGACCCGGTGTCAGACGGAGAACGCTCTTCAATAGGGGCGTTAGGGCGCAGGATGTTGTCTTGCTCGTTGGTTTTGGTGACACTGGCACTGATGCCATAAAACATGCTACGTTCGGCCGGAGGGGGGATAGCACCGACTGCAATGTCGGAGACAGGGTATGGGGCGGTAGAGGGGTATGGATCTCCCGCTTCTTTGCTTCGTTTACTCATACCACGACCCATTCCCTGTAGCGTGCGCTGGTCAGCGGGCAAGGAAGCAGGAAAGTCGCCATCATATATCGTCTCGTCAGCCACGCCGTCTTTGAAAAAGGTGTCGTTCATCAAACGCTGAGTGATTTCGTGAGCGGAGTACTCACCGTCAAAGGTGTGCTCGCTCGGCTTCGCCTCAAAGTCGTCCGCTTCAGTGATGCCCGTAGAACTGGACACCCCAGTGTAGTGCTGGTGCTTAGAGTGATCTGGGGAAGAGGACGCGGAGGAAACAGAAGATGTCTGCCATACGTTGCCCGTGCTGCCCGTGTTGGACGAGCCTTGGCTGTTCTGGGGTACGTGTATTTTCAATTCTTTGACGTTCTTTTCAGCGTGGCCAGGCGGCTGGGCTTTACTCCTCAGATACGGGTTAAATTGCGATCTCTGGGACTGGGTTGCCGGGACGGAGTCCATTGTCGAGGCTGATAAGTTGGAACGGTCCTCTCTCGCAGCGTTAAACAAACTTGTTTCGGGAAGAGTCTCCTGAGTGTTGGGGAACACTCCGGAGATAGGCGATGGAGAGGGGGATGCGGAGCCTGAGACAGCAAGAAGGTTGTTATTATGTGGGTTCGGGCTGGAGACTTGCTTCGTTCTTCGGTACAGGCTGGAGATGGAGCGACTTCCGCTCGGCTGGCTGCGGGGAGTTGGGTTATCGCTGTGAGTTTGGTCTAGACCTTGACTTAGATAGCCCTGGGATTGGCCATGAGGGCCTGGCTTGCTAGGTTCACCGAGTTTGGAGGCGCTCACATTTCTCAACAGAGTTGGCGTCTGAATCTGTTCTTGCAGCGTATTTGTCCTACTGACGCTGGGGGATGAGGCAATTCGTGGGCTGGGATTTGGCGATGAGACAGACCTGGAACTCAGGTTGGATGAGTTGGGACTCTCTCTTTTGAAGATTTCGAACCCTGCGCGTTCATAAACACCTCGATACCGCTTGTCTACCTTCAACGGAGGGAACGCCGAGTGGAAGGTGGTCTGTGTGGTGGGAGACTTTACAAACTCCGGAAAGGAGTCGAATAAGGCCATCGTGTCTTGTACTACGCCAGTAATGGTCAGTCAATTGAAAACAGCTTTAGATAGTCAAGAGGTGTATTTTCAGATAAGAGACGTGGTGGGAAAGAATATCATCGCGATAGAATCTCGTACGCATGTCACAACAGAAAAATTGCTGCGGATCGTCAGAAAACGTAAGCGCGTAGGCAGCTGCGAAAACCCAGTACGCGTGTACCTTAAATTTGTATGCACGGGGAAAGCTGAGATTCTAAAGCGGTTGTTTAAGTCACCAAACGGGGACATGCATCACGGCATAAAAAAGTTGCTCGATCAGTAATTATCTAAGAGGGTGGCGCCTGGTTGTCTAAATGAAGTACAAAAAAATTATTGATTTGGAACTGCTTTCGTGGCCAACGAATGGCTCTTGACTGGAAGTCAATTTCCTATTGAAATACACCACCCACATCCGCTTACTGAGGCTTCTCAATCGGATCGCCCCTCTGGCTCTAAAGTCTGAGCGTATACCAGGGTAGAATAACATTGGGGCCACACATACGCCGTGACGCGTCTAAACGACCCGAATCGACAGCATGCCTTGCAGGATGATGTTTTCATTAGAAAGTTCACTTGTCTCACTGCTTTATTCTGCTTGTTTTTATACTTTTTGTTGGTTATGTATACCATTTTCATGCTATTTAAAGTAGCAGCATTGCACTTCCCTCATGTGCAACCAAGCAGCGTTTAGTATAGGTTGCCATCCTACGCCTGTACTAACCTCGAACGCGTTCAAGCGTGCATCGCGACAGGAGAATTCCCTCACAAAAATAAGTGCACGTGAGAAAACAGGCACGGCACGGCACGCGACCCCGGCAACCCGTCAGGTTAGGACCAGGGCATGCCTGCACTTGTCAGCCGTGATCGAGGGAGTAATCACAAGCTTAATATAATCAAATGGTCTCATTTCGCACATAACTTTCCACGCGTAAAGTCTAAACTACGATATATGATGGGTTGACTAATGCATTGAAATCAGCTATTAATAGCATGTCGCTAGGAGGTGCCCGTTCTGGAATCCTGATATCGAGACAAACGGCCGAGACCCATTTAATAAAGTACAATCACACCATGAGGACTATATAGGCTCGTTTTGCTTACCCCTCAGAAACAGGTGTTTACATTCCGATAAGCTTTGATGAATGACAGTCTATTTACTGGTTATTTTCCGCATGTGACAAAAGACAATAGAAAGTATTTGAGACAATGTATCTTCTTAGACCGTCCCAGGGTACTCAAATTATCGGTTATTGTTCAGTACAGGTACTGTGATACGCAGGTTCAAGACAAGGTAACGTTTAATCGGTTGGGCACCGTCAAGGCTTTACCTTGGTACTACCATTTGCTCGGGGATGAGGTTGCTACCAACTTTTTACTATGGAATAGTCATATCTCTTTCACCGAGGTTTGATGCTTGGGAATATTTCACCTCCAAGTGACACGTATAAGCGTGTACAATGTCAAAGAGGGTTTCCATCGTTCGCGTGTCGGATATTCAAACAGAAAGAAAGCGATACTAAGCCTATATAGCTATGGTGATCCACCATTCATCAAGCTCCAAAGAACCAACACTAAAGTCTGTCATAAACACGCCCGGTGACGTGATACGGTGGAGCGAAAGCAATGGGGGTAATGAGGGAGTGCGAGATCTGTCGATAAACATACGGCTTGTAGCACTTTCCCCGTTAGCGAATACGTCAGGGTTTGAATACCTACGTCACAGCCTAAACAGCGGAGCTTCCATCAACTCCTTGCCCCTCAAGTATACTTTTATTGTTATTAAATTTTGCCAATATACTACGCCCCCAAATCATTGTGACGAATTTCCTCGTCATCGCTCTTCACGACACTTCTTTCCTCTCGCTCATAGCTCTCATCGTCGCTAATCAAGAAATTGTTGTCGATGCTGCTGGGGTCATCATCAAAGGCAGTGCTGTCCAAATCAAACTGCGACGGGTTGCTCCCACCGGCGCTATTCAACGTCTGCAATTCTGGGTTGAAGAAACGCTCATTCCCAGCTTCAAGCTGGTCGTAGAGGTCAAACGAGCCGGCGCCGTCGGACGGATGGGTCAGCTCAAACTCCTGGAGCTTGGCCTGCATTTTCACATAGATGATGTAGGTGGTGGCCGTAGCGGCCAATCCCGTGATCAAGATGGACAAGATGTCGATCAACTGGGTGGAACTCTCGTCGGTTTCCCCAATATCCTTCAACTTCGAACCAACAAAGATATGAATCAACAACTTTGGCGACGTGATCAAGCTCGCAAGGAAGTAACGCATCACGGAAATGTCTGGGATCGCAGCCAAGGCGCCATTGGACAAGGAGTATGGTAAGGGGCACAACCGGACCAAAATCAACAACGTAAGACGTTTATCCTCACGCATGATCGCGCTTAATGCTGCAAAGTTGCGATTTGTCTTGACAAAGCCCTGCGCGCGCTCGATGAGAAAATAGCGAAACACCACAAACGAGCAGAGCGAGCCCGTGACTGAGGCGGACGCAAGGAGCGGCCAACCGTATGGAAAGCCATAGATCATGCCGGTAAGTGTGGATAACGCACTGAAGCCGATCAACGGTGGGAACCCCACAGTAAAGACGAGTGCAAACATGATAAGGCGGCCCCCGCGCATCTTGGCCCAGTGCGCGGACGAGTTGATCATAACCTCGAGGATTTTCTTATGGAAGATGAGAACAAGGAGTCCCACGGTCCCGCCGAAGCAGAGAATGAGCACGATTAAGCAGCGGCGCCACATAGGCTGGGCAAAAAACCATGCGCTGGTCTTTCCAATGAGCGCGTTAAGCGACTCGGACGTTGCACCCAAACGCGACAGGTAGTTGTTAAACATGAACAGCGGCAGCGGCGGCAGTGATGACGGCAATGGGCTCTGTGCGTATTGGATATATGGCTGAGGTGGCGGTGTGGCCAATCTGGGCATCTCTGGGAAAGACCAAGGATGTGCCAAAATGCAGATAAGGGGTACGGTAGTATTAAGTAGGCGCCGTGTAGGTGTATTGTGGATATTACCAGGTTAAGCAAAGCAGAAACAACGGTGGAGGTGTAGTTATGAGAGGTCAATGATTTTGACACGTTGTAGCGTAAAGTCCATCTATGAAATAAATTGTAATGATGGTTAGGAGCGCACACGTAAGCACCGCCGGAAATGGCGGCTCGCTTATGCGTGTCGGATCGGGCATGCTCGAAGGCCGATTTTTACGTTTGGAAACAGGTCCGCATAAGCGATCCGAAAGGTTTGAAATTGTGGCACCAAGGTAATATATTAATAGACGACGTTAAAAAGTGATATTTTTGCCTCCCAAATGTACAAAATTATCGTATCGCCTGTTGTTTAGGTGCCTTCCAAGTCTCAGGAGTGGGATAACATGACGGTAACAGTGGTATTAAGTGCCCATACGATGTCCCAAATACTAAATTACGACACAGCCTTTAACTCCAGGGTAAAGGGCTAAGGTGGATACTGATTAGATTCTGGCCCCCGTTATGCCTTTGTTAGTATCTATCCACTATATATTCGACAGACGATTGGGTGTACACAGCATCTCCATCAGTCTACCTTGTTATCAGTTTTTATTCATTAAATCGTAATAAATATGTTTAGCTACCCTCCAGACCGAATTTGTTCAAACGAACAAATGCGTCAGTGCCGTAACCCCACAAGGAAACCAACTTCAAGTCACCGCCAAAGTGCTGTGCGTACAACTTGGACAACGGTAACCCGTAGCCCAAGCCAGCCAAGGGTGCAGCCTTGCCATCCTGGAGGTCCTGGTTGGGGTTCTGCACCAAATTAAACACCTCGTTTCCAGAGTTCGGGTGAGTCATGGAGTCCACGGGGAACTGCGAAATCTCGTCGTTTGAGACGGTGGTATAAAAATACGACGAAATCTTGGACAATTCCGATGACTTGATGCCGCCACCACGGTCGGAAATCTTGATGAGCACGTCCTCAGTACCGTTGAGGACGGTAATTTCGATTGGCGGAATGATGTCCTTCCGGAGTGTGTCGCGAACCCGTGAGCTTCCAGTCTCACGCATTTTTCCGTCGCTGCTGATTGACGCGTCGTTGTAGTTTTCCAATGTCGCGCGCATCGCGTTTTTGACCAACTCAAAGAAAATGTGCCAGAGGTGCGCGGGCACGCACACCGTGCGGAGGTCATCATCGCAGTTCAAAATGATTTCTGGGGGGTTCAAGCCAGTCCAGTTGATTAGCGTATTTTCGGCGGAAGTAATCGCGTCGTTGAGGATATCGTATATGCTCACGTTGGTAGCAATTACCCCAACGTTTCCGTTGCGCTGCAACTCTTTGAACTGCGCGCGCGACACCTGCGCGTAGCTGAGCTTGTACAACGATTGGTGCTGCGAAACTAAGAAGCGCGTGGAGATGCGCGAGCGGTGCAATGCATTGAGGTACTCGTGCGTGCGGGTACAGTTGTCGATCTGGCACTTGCGAGCGTACTGCTTGGGACGTGTGATCTTCATCTGGAACAACTCCTGGTTGACCTCCTTGAAGAGCGCAATCAAGTCATTGCTGTGGTCCGCGAGAATCGCACTGAAGAATTCCTGGCAGAGCGCATTGTAGCTGTGCACCTCCTGGGGATACGCGCGCACAGTGTCCGAGAGCGTCTGCCGCAAGTTCGGGTCGAACTGTACGTGCGCGGGGTTCGCGCGCGCCACGTTGGGCGCCACCGCGAACGAGCGCGTGTGGAACATGCCGCTGAGCCGAGCAAAGAGGCCGGGTGCGGGAACGGCCGATACCACGTTCATGCTGCTCAACACCTGCGATGCGCTGAGCTCCAGTATCACCGGCTCCGGACCAGTTTCATCTGAAACCCGTGTGGTGAAGTACATGCCCGCGGGAGAGCTCTGCGATAAAAGCCGCGCCTTCATCTCGGGCCCAAGAAGGTGGCTGGACTTCTGCTTGAATTCAAGAATCTTGTGGAACGTATGTTCGTACGAGTCGGCCAAGTTGCGGAATGGCTGTTTCACCGTGAGCTCCGGCGGCGGGTTTCGTAACAACTGTACGCGGTGCGCGAGCATGATGGGGATTTCGTCAAGAAGAAACTGTGAGGAGCGGTAGATCTGCGGCGTGCTCGGCGTCACGCCGAACTTAATGAGCTGCGAGAGGTTCACCTTGGACGGTTTAAACCGCGCAAAGCGTTCGATAGTAGGCATAGCAGACGCTAAAGGATGGTATCCAAGAATATGCTTCCAAGGTATCCTGAGGGATCGCTAGCAAGAAATGATGTAGTTGAATATCTTGGTTGTAAATGATGTTGATATGTATCCTGGTGGATGTTAGAGGGTGATTCTAGGGTGGCGCCTCGTGGTCGTATCCTAGAGCGATATCTCTAGGTAGTGTATGTCCCTTGCTTCGTGGTATCACTTGGGTAGTTGTATCCCTTTCTATTCGTATCGCTAAGATTAGGGTACTGTAGAGTTGCCGAAATCGAAATAGTTCGATCAACTTTTCAGGCCCAGAATGAAAACAAAAAAAAATAAAAATAAAAAAAACCAATACCTTATACTGTAAAGGCATGACGTTGTCTCCGAGCCCCTCGTGTTTCCCCGGCGATAGCCTTCCCCCAATATATGCAGGAAGCTAGCACTCCCGGCGCGGGTCGGGTTGGCGGCATATTTCTCGCATGATCGGCACAACCGAAGCGTCTCGCAGAGATGCCATGGAATAAAAAATATCGACAACGGCAGGACTCGAACCTGCGCGGGCAGAGCCCAAAAGATTTCTAATCTTTCGCCTTAACCGCTCGGCCACGTTGCCTTGATATTTAGTCTGTCAGGGTTCCAGCGCCTGTTGGTATTCCAGTCGGGGGGTTGTAATCAGTCATTGATTCACAAGTTACTTATCGTGATCTTCCACAAAAATAAAGATAATATTAAAACCAAGATCATTCTTAGATCTGGAAAACTACTTCCTTATATAGCTTTCTTCGGTGCCTCATTTGCTTTATGCGACAGGATTAGTTTCAGATACTCATTATCAAATAATCCTAGTAGCCTCAACTGGAACCTCATAAGGTTCCTGAAACAACTCTCTAACTCTGACATAGTCTTGATATTTAGTCTTCATGGATAGACTTGTACCAAACTAGTTCTGATCTAATGTTCCATTGGTTAGGGCTAAATGCGGTTCTGACACTTTGACCATTATATGACCAGTTATTCTGTCCACTGACAACTGAGAAATTTACTATTCCACCTAAAGTCCCTAAAATTAAAGTAAATTTACCGACCAGAACAAAAATAAATGTGGCCGCTTACCCATACATATAACTAACTGAACAATCAGGAAATATCCTTGGCTTCATACTTAGAGTAACAGTATGACATCCCGGTGGAACAGGCAACTATAGCATTCATCATGAGAGTACAAGGCAGATGTAATCATAATAATTTTCTTAAAATTATATAGTGGCCGTTTGGCCGAGTGGTCTAAGGCGTCTGACTCAAGATCAGATCTCGTAAGAGGCAAGCGTTCGAACCGCTTAGCGGTCATTATCTTTTTTTTTTGTTCTGTTTCGCCCCGCTTTGATACTACTCAGTCTGTCAATTTTATCTTCTTAATTGGTACTTGCTGTGGTTTCCACCCTTACTACATTGTCTGTTTGTACTCTGTTACGCCCGCATATGCACGTCGGCGGACGCATTAAACGTAATGCATCAGAGGCCTCACTCAGAACCGTGTTCCGATGCTAGGTCCCAACTAATTATCGAGTATTCCTAACCCCCATTACATGTAAGGAACGTTTTTATTGTAAATTTCCTTATCTTTTCTGCTAGGCTCAGGTGACATCATTATAGCCGTCGCACCTTGCTCACCATTTGCTTACAAGATACACAAGCCGATATAATTTCTCCAGATACCATGCTGAAAGACAGATAAGGACTCTGGCATCCCCATCTTACTTCACTCAGAAATAGCACACCAAAGTATTTCTCGCTCAGCACCATGCCTCTTGAGCTACCCCTTTTCCAGCACGTTCCTGATGTCCGTGCGTCGTTCGAGGGGTTTTCGTTCGAATATGGCGGGCAAGGCGAATTCGAATTTGCTACCAACCTAATACCTGTGGGAAAAGAAACCCCGGAACTAGACCCACCAGTGGTGTCGGAAAGCGATGTCAGTCTTGAAGCCAGCGTAACCCCAGATCTTGATTTGAGCTTGAACCTATTCGATCTCGATGAGCTCGGTTTAGTCCAACAACTCGATGAAATTGATGCCGTTTTGAATGTGGGATTGACAGTTGCCCCAAGAAGCATTCCTCAGCTCCTTATTGTCCCGCCACTGAAGGATACTCTCTTTGGTTCTGTCAGGATGTATGACCAGGACGCTTCGCACAAACGAATCTTGGAAGAGAATGCTCGGCCCCTCATGAGGGTGGTACACCTGGCCTGCCCCACTTTCCCAGTTACACACAAGAGAAGAAGGGTGAGCGAAAAATCGGATCCCTTGGCTCCTTTGTTGGAAGCTCTCACCGAAAAGAGTACCTACAAAGTATTTCCGCATCTGGCCAAACCCCACCAAGTTTTACATTCGTACCAAAAGAAGCTCTACAGCTACATGGCGGGAAACCTTCTTAGACCACCACCTGTCATCCATGAAAATACAAAAGAGCGGCCAAATATGGTGGATACATACTCTTGTCCACCATTGGCGAGTCTCTCGTCGTTGAGAAGACGCTTAGAGCACACTTTTATTGATCCTGGTACTGTGGCTCGGCACTTTGTGTTGACCCGGCTCGAAGCGTCTGCGGAGACATTGTATGAACCGGCTTACAAGGCAAATCCGGTTTTGGAGCCCCACAACTCAAAAATGACCCTCGGCTTGTGCCCGTACTGCCCAAGTCCGTCGTGGTTTTTGATGTACAATTCCACGTACGCCCACCACTTGGAGAATAACCATGGGATTTACAAGAGCAACAGCTTTGTCCCTGATACATTGTCGCTTGCAAAGTATAGCTATGTCAATACGGGTGGTAAAACTCGGAAGGAGAGCCTTTTCGAGAGAGATGGGGTGACCTGCCCCCAGTGTAACCAGATTGTGCTCTTCGACAGCAAGGGTTACACGCTCGGCTCCGGAAAGGGTGATGTGGAGAAGTACATCCCTTACTTGAGGCACTACAAGAAGCTCCACAAAACGAAAGGCAATACCCTTGTGGAGTACAAAGTGCACGATCTTTATCGGGACCTTGACGACGCGCTTGGAAATGGATATTACTATCCTGCTATTTAGCACTAGACTCTATCCGCTTCTGCATTCTTCCTTTGCAGGTTCAGTCGTGGTGTAGCTTTTTCAGGACTACCCTAGTTGCTGCCCTTGGCACCAGTCGAGATTTAGCTTAATCGGACCGTATCTTATAGTTTAAACTTTTGTTATTGAGTATAGTACAGATGTGGGGAATAAATGGGTAAACTCTTTATGAAGGTCTACCACTTTTCTTCCGGGTTCTTCTTGAACTCCTCGTAGGCCTCCCAGTTGAACAAGCTCAATTCCGTCTCGTTTTCCACACCCAATTTGTACACAGACCTTTCGTCGTCTAACTTCAAGACCAAGCCTTCATCGTCTTCCATGTTGACAACCAAGTTCATGCTCTTGGACTGGTGAGCATGGTTGTACACCTTCAAAGTGTCGTAGACCACGTTCCTGTAGGGGCGGTAGGCACCCTCGGTGTTGATCTTGTCGAGCATGAGCTTGTGTAGCTTCTGTGGGGTAAGTTCTTGAAGATTTACATCCTTCAATATCACGTTCTTGACATTACGGTAAGGGAAGGATTTGATGATGCGGACAGTGATAATAGAGTCCGTGACTCCGAGGTTAGTTCTTGGGCTTATGAGGTTTCCCCAGGGTTTCTAAATAATGAGTTACTTACTTGGACGCACAGAGGAGGTAAGTGGCTCTTCGAGGTTGAAGTCTGACATTTTGTTGAGGTTATAAGGGAACGAGAAAGATCATTGGAGCAGCGGGTGACCTGAAATCTTGGGCTCCAATCTTTGTGATATTTTTTCCTTGGGCAATATGCAGGAAGCGATGTTTAACGGTGACCAAGTTGTTATCTGAGTGAAACTATTGTCAAGACGGGTGTTTAAGCATATGGTCGAAGATGTTGAAAATTTTAATTAATAACCATATTTTTTAGTTGTATTTATCTTCATACGAGTTCCACTTCCAGCACGAAATATGTACATGCGACATCATTTTGCGTATAAGCTCTCGAGCCAACTAAAGTTCACGTCTATCTTTTATCGTAATTCATCTATCCAGTTATAATCTGTCCTTATCCCATTTATAGTTTATCCCATTTATTGCTTATTTTATTTATTTCTCACGAACTTATTCGTGGATCGGCATGGAGGTAGATGGCGCCAGGATCTCGTCGGTGGAGAAAGACCACAAACTGGTGATCGCCTTTGGCTTAGTCAAGAACATAATCCCAGCCTTACCGTAGAAGTTCAAGTCACCCATGAAGGAGGCTCTGGAGCCAGAGAAAGAAAAGAGTGGCAATGGGACCGGGATTGGAACGTTGACACCCACGTTACCCACATCAATGTTCTTGGTAAAGAACTGAGCGGCGGCACCGGACTTGGTGAAGATGGAAGTACCGTTACCATAACGGCAGGAGTTGATCAACTTAATGGCCTCCTCCAAAGTATCCACGTTGACAATAGTCAACACCGGCGCAAAGATTTCCTCGTCGTAGCATCTCATGCCCGGCTTGGCGTTAGTGATAATGGTTGGGCCTAAGAAGTTACCCTTGGCCAAAGCAGCCTGTTCCGGCTTCTGGTCTCTCCCGTCGAGCAAGAGCGTGGCACCCTCGGTCTCGGCGCTGGCGATGATTTCCTTGGCTCTGACCAAGGCTTGTGGGGAGATCAAAGGACCCAAGTCACTAGAGGTATCGAACCCGCTCCCGATGCGGAACTTGGCAGCATCCTTGGCCACATCCTTAATCCACTCCTTTGGCTTGTCACCCACAGTGACCAAGACGGAAATCGCCATGCAGCGCTGGCCGGCAGCACCGAAGGCAGCACCGTTGACCGCGTTGATAAAGGTCTGTTTGTCGGCATCAGGGAGGACCACCATGTGGTTCTTGGCCCCCAAGTTGGACTGCACACGCTTCCCCAATGCATGGCCGCGCTCATAGATGTACTTGCCGGCCTTGTCGCCACCCACAAAGGTGATGGCCTTGATTCTTGGGTCTTCCAAGAAGGCGTTCACGGTCTGGTGCTTACCGTGGACCAAGTTGATCACACCAGGTGGACACCCAGCCTCGGCACAGATCTCGGCGATGATCATGGCGGCACCTGGTGCTCTCTCACTCGGCTTGATGACGGTAGTGTTACCCGTGACAATGACCAATGGGATGGTCCACAACGGAATCATCGCTGGGAAGTTGAATGGGCAGATGGAGCCAATCACACCGATTGGCTCTCTGATCATCTTGGTCTCCATATCCTGGGCAACCTCCAACGAGACCCCCTGCAACTCAGAGGTGATGCCGCAGGCAAACTCCGCGACCTGAATCCCTCTCAAGACGTCACCCTTGGCGTCGGCAAACGTCTTGCCCTGTTCAAGTACGATCAGAGCGGCGAGTCTGTCCCAGTTCTTTCTCAACAACTCGACAATCTTGAAGGCAATCTGCTGTCTCTTGATGATCGAGGTCTGCTTCCACAGTTCGAACGCTTCGTCCGCAGCGGCGATCGCAGACTCCAACTCAGCAGCCGTAGACTGTGGGACCTTGGACACGACGTGGTTGGTGGAAGGGTCGTGGATGTCGAACCACTCAGAGGAGTCCGACTTGAGGAGTTTATTATTGATGAAGGTGGGTGTGAGGTAAGGCTTGTCCTTGGCCGAGGTGTGGCTGGTCGGGTAGGACGTGGTGGTCGTGTTGAGCTTGATGGTGGACAAGCTGGCGAAGGACAATGGCTGGGCCATTGGGCGGACAAGTCTGCCCGATCTGAGAGAGAGTCTTGCGTACATGACGTGGATGGGAAAGGATGAGGAAAAGAGCAGTGGGGGAAGGGGGAGAAGTTGATCGGTAGCTGAGGGGTTTATATACAAATTTACGGAACGGGATCCAGGAGACGTGGGGAAGCCTCACGGGTAATTTCTCTTCGCGTGCCACGACTCGGAGTTTATTAAACGCGGGGCTACGAGGGAGAAAAAAAAGTATATCTCATATTTCCTCCCATAACCGCTGGCGGCTAGCACTGCATCTGACAACTTGCTGGCGTGGCTGAGGGGCTAAATTGACGTGAGGGGGGCTGCATGGGGAGGGGAGCGGATGCACGGCACGTGGATGTGCCCGAGAAATGTGGGGGTTTCAGTGCAGGATAAAGAATCTAGGTTGACCGGTCGTAGGACTCAGTGCTGTTGGTGAGGGAATTCAATTATCCATAGGGGAATGCTGGTGGGGTTTGAAAGGGTTACGGTTGGGGTTCCTGAGAGGTACCTTTTTGTGGTGGTGAACTGTTCCCTGACCACCAGCGCTTTTGGTCCGAATTGGGTAATTCGATGCGGGCTGATAAGGTGCAGTGGTTCGGACTCTGCCGTAGGAGTCAGAACAAGCTATACGACCGATATCTATACTGTACGAGAAGGGTATTCAGATAGTGTGCACTAAAGTCAGGATACCCACTTATTTGGCGAATGTGCTGCCGTAACGGCCCGTAAGTACCTCAAATAAGGACAAGGCCACGTCGCAGGTCTATATCTCGTTGGACCCCGATCATATATAGCAGGTTATAGGGTAACCAGGTCGTAGCGCTAATTTTTTTATCTTGGACCACTATATAGTCTAGCCTGCACCGGTCTAGTAGTTATCGATAACATCTAGGGTGGTGGTATCGGCCAAATCGCCGTCCAAAACAAAAGCATAATAGATTTTGTAACGAAGGTAAAAACATCAGCACAGCATTTACGTAGCAATATATGTATAACGATATGTATATATTAGTGCCAGTCATGTGTCGATCAAGGTAAGGGTAGAATTGGCTGAGGCTAGAAAGAATGTACTGGCTTTCGGGCTGGGTTCTATGCCGGAAGTTGGTCTTCCCCCACGTATGCATGCGGCATGTTCCGGAGCCGTAGACTGGTGTTTCAGCTATCGAAGAATCACTAACGGGGCTTGATTGATAAAGCGTTATCAAAATAAACGGTCCTGATTAGCATACTGGTTGTGTTCAGTTATTCAAGATGGTCGTATGGCCAACTTTGAGATCGAAATGCCGTTGAGATTTATAAGGTAACTTGCCAAACTCCATGGTCATTTTGGAAACCCTCATGTTTGGAAATCTTTATATTTCCTATGCTTATTTCTACAAATATCATTAAGAAAAGTAAATGTCCGTAGATATAGATTAGAAGTACACAAAAATCCACCATGCTTACCTTCTATTGGCATCTCTTCCATTGGCACATTTTCCATTGAAATCTCTTCCGTTGTCTTCTCCTGTGGCCTTCTCTTTGAACTACGTCACAACTCTCTGGAAGACCCATCGGTACACACATCACACTTGTACAATGTGTCTAAAAATCCCACCACTAACCGATCAATAACACCGGTCGTGGTGACACTTCCCGCAACCCCGTAGAGCGCGGCAGTGTCGCCCAGAGGCTTCGTCTTTCCACCGATCCCCTCCTCTACCAATGCATCCACGACGCTCTGCAAATCTGCAACCAATTCGTGGATCACCGGGGAACTCAACCTGGTAAACGCAATGTGGACGGCCGCGGGTGTCTGCAACGTGCTCAAGTGCCAGCCTTTAGCCGACATGGCGTCACTCAACTCGTAGATGTTAAGACTCGCCAGCTCGGCAACGGTGAAGGAAACCACCGAACCAAGTGGGTCTCCCAACACGCGAAGCTGTGGAATCCGCTGCACCGCCGCCTTAAAATCTCTGCTTGCCTGGATAATCTCCTGGGCCGATTTGACGTACCCGTCTTCACCGATGTTCATCATCGTAGCCCAGCAACCCGCCATCAAGGCGCCCGGTCTAGAGCCTGCCAACGTTGGCGAGCCGTACACCCCGCCGGACCATTCCACATTCACATAGTACTGGCATTCGCGCATTTTGTTGTCACGGTACATGATGACTGACGAGCCTTTCGGCGCAAAGCCGTACTTGTGGGTGTCGCAGGAGATAGAGGTGACCCCGGGGACCCTGAAATCGCATATTGGCACGTCGTGGAACCCTGCCTTGTTCGCAAACGGTGTGATAAACGAGCCAAGACACGAATCCACATGCAACGGAATATCATACCTCACTGCCAAGTCGCTCATGCCCTGGATGTCGTCGATGATCCCGTGCGGAAAGTTGGGAGACGAGCCGCAAAGAAGCACCGTGTTGCGGTTGATCAAGCGCTTCACCTGGGATAAGTCAACCTGCATCGTCTTTGGATCTACCCGCGCCTTGTGGAGCTTAATCCCGAAGTAGTACGCAGCTTTGTCCACACCTGCATGGATTGTCACGGGGGCGACAATCTCCGGACTGGAAATACCCTTATACCGCGCCCCGTACACCTTCGCGGCCAAACACGCAAGCAAGAGCGACTCGGTTCCTCCAGAGGACGAGGTTCCGCAGGCCCGCACTGGCGCGTTGTACATATCCAATACCATCGCCACGACTTCGGACTCCATCTTCCGGACCCCTGGAAACACGTCGGGATGTAACTGGTTCGCCACACAGTTCTTCTGAAACGCCTGTGACTGCAAGGCAATAATGTCGTCACCACCGTGATACACGGCTCCGGAAACCTTCCCAGCCTCCCACGCGGAGTGTTTTAGCTGGGACAACTCTGTAAGAGTGTCAAGCACTGTCTCGGTAGGAATCCCCACTGCTGGGAGCTTGCTGTGACTGCACAAGCCCGGAGCACTCACAATCAAGGAGCCCTCGAGGTTAGCAATGTTTTTGGCAACCTCCTTGTCAACTCTCGCCCGAGCGAGCGGTGAGGCGAGGAACCAGCGAAAGAACGCACCGGTCCACGTTTTGCGCGCTCTTTGCAAAACCGTCACCGGGCCGTAGGCATAAACTTGCTGTACAAGCGGTAACACCACGTAGAGCACTATGCGGTACACGACGTAGAGGAAAATTACCTCCTTTAAGAGCACGTACCGCAGTTGGTGGCGCATCTCGTGGTAATAGTGAACGGCGTCTTCCTCGAAAACGCCGAGTTGCAGCGCAATGTCCAGGGCTTTCAAGCGGGAAATGATGGAATCCAGCATTGTAGAATAGGTCAATAGGATTGAATCTTGTAAATTGATGAAGAACTGAATCGGACGAGAGATGTCAGGAAGCTTCGAGTTGAGCTATAATTGCGAGGAGCGGTAATTAGTTAGTGCAGGAGATATGTTGGTAAAGCCCGCCGGCACGAGTGTTTTGCGGCGGAGGTGATGATCTAAACAGGCAAAGCTGATGGATATACGGCTTATTATTTTTTATGGTAGCCGCAAAGAAATAGCCAGCGGCTATTCTTACGGGTTAAAACAACCTCTGAGTACTGGTAGGGTGGAAGATCCCCGAGGAGGCTTCGGCATGTATAGGCCGCTTAGCCGAGGACTGAAGTGTATCGGCTAACCTACACGGGTCATAAATCTAAAATTACAACTGAAATTCAGCACCAAAAGCTGTAGATATAAAACCGAGAGTCCCAATAAACCCATATAAAACACCCCAAAAACAAAAAAAATAATGGTGCAAAAAAATACACCTAAACCAAAACACTCGAGACAACCTTCAACCATTCCTCTGGGATCATAACGACACCGGATAAACCCATAGACAAATAGTTCATTTCGAAAACCCCGATGTCTCCACCAAACACAGCGTTCTCCACCGCCTCGCTGTTCAACAATCTGCCCGCCAAACCGGCCACAATACCTTTAGAATCAATAGGCAACTTGGTCAAGTCCACACTGATGGGAATGATACTGTCAACATCAGACCCAATGAATTTGTTCTTCCCACCAAACCCAAGCTTGTGCCTCACCTTTGAGGATTTGGGGAGAAGCAAGGAAATGGACGACCCCGTGGTCTTGGTGATGGCAAAGTACTCCACAAAGGAATTAGGAACGGACGGGTTGTGTGCGGCAAGAGCCTGCGCTGAGAGAAGAATCACTTCGCGGGCATTTTGGCGGCCTGGTCTGGCACCAGTGAGTAGTAGTTTGGCGCGCGGGGAGACCAAAGGCTTGATACCGTGCTTTGCGAACAAAGCAAAGGTCTTGGTGGCCAAATCATCAGACTCGACAGTAACAGGCTCATGTTTAATGCCAGCGGGGATCGGTGAGGAGGTAACCAAGTCATAGCCCTTGGACAGCAAAATCTGAACAACCTTGGCCTTAGAAGCTTCAGGGATCAAGATGATGTCGGCAAAATGCGTGGACAAAAAGAAAATGGAAATGTCTGAATCGGAGAGCGGCTCGGTCAATTCCAATACTCTCTTGTTATCAAGGCCATCGGTAACTACCTGGAGAGCCAAGTATGCTTCCTGGAAGAGTTTGGTGTCAAAAGAGCAGGCTGGTTCCTGGACAGAGGTGTTCAAAGGCTGGGTAAAGAACTTCGAGATCAAGGCTGCGGAGCAGATAATGGTGCATTCCGACGGGGTGAAGGCGACGTGTAAAAACGGATCTTCAATTTCCGTATGGTCTGGCTCCGGTATCGAGTCCTTGGAATTGCAAGCAGAGAGATCTGTTGTGTATGCGGGAGTGGAAGCTCTGGAATGGGAGTTGATAGACGGCACTGAATTGGAGGTGGCATCGGACTGGTAGCCTTCTTCTTCGTCCTCTCCTTCACTCTCGCTGTCAGTAGAGTCGTCTTGTGCATTGTCAGCGTCACCAAGTTTATCTGCTACGTAGTGCAAGAGCTGCAATACTCCCAGCGAGAAGAGCCAGTATTTTTCTCTGGGGATAGATAGAATAGATAGCGGTGTGTCGTATAGCTGTACTTGTGCGTTCATTGTGATGCGTGTTCTTTTTTATTGGAGTGGGACAGTGTCAATATAGTTGAGGAGGAAGTAAGGGGTAGTTAAACTTGCAGGCGAGAAAGCTTTTTATATATCCCGTCGTCCATCTAGGGTTCACGTCAAGTATGAGTAATCCCGTGCATGCATACGCGAAGTTTTTTTTTTTTCCCACACGATGTGTCACAGGGGCATTAAGCTACATCCCCTGCACGTTATTACTCATTGCTCCACGTGCTATTCGGCCATTTAGCGCGGTAAACACTCTGATCGCATATCCAAGACGTCTAACCCCTTCCAGAGGCAGCCAAGCCGGTGGAATTTCTTAGAATCGGAAGGGTTTTTTTCGCTACAGCCGCACGCACCATTTATGGCGAGTTAAAAATGCAACGTCGGAGAAAAAACAGAGTCTGTATTGTGGCTCGGGTGGACCGTAAGACAGTATAGAGTCATAGTTGTGGACCACAGTAGAGCTGGAATTTTCTTCCACCTTTCAAGCTTTTCTAGCACACGTAGGAGAAGGCACGTTTTTGAAAGGCAGATAAGATTGCAATAGAAATCCTTTAGACATCGAAATGGATTAATGCACCACCCCTTGACTTGCAAGTCCCAAATATGGTTTAAAGGTTTTGTGAGGGCAATTTCACCAAGCTCTAAGCTTTGCCAGATCTGGCAGCCAAACCTTTTACTTGTTTGCGACGGAATTGCAACCATGTGATGAAAGCCTTGGTTCAATTTCATCAGCATGCACGTGATCCATATAACAGCCCTTTAATGATCATGTATGTCACGTGATTACCAGTTTATTGATTATATAATTGGGGTAGATTACGCGAACCCGAGAACCCTCTACAGGACATATCTACGCTGCCGGACAAACTGCATGGCAGCCGGGGATGGTGCATACATGGTGGAAAACTCTCCAACAATCCGAAGACCTACCCCAACTTTTCGCTTCCTTATAAATATCCCTCGCTTCTCCTAAACTCTGCAAATACTCTTTTCTCTGTCCTTTTAGTTACACACCTTATATTCAATGCCAGAAATTACCAGTCACATCAACAAAGATCTCGGCCCCTTGCCCCGTCCAGACCCCCGACTCCCAGAACACGTGCTTGAGTTGTTTTCCTTGAAGGGAAAGGTTGCCTCTATCACCGGTTCCTCCCTGGGTATTGGTTACTCTGTCGCGGAAGCCTACGCCCAGGCTGGGGCTGACGTTGCCATCTGGTATAACACCTCCCCCGCCGATGACAAGGCTGCTGAATTGGCTGCCAAGTATGGGGTCAAGTGTATTGCGTACAAGTGTGCTATCGGAGACGCTACCGATGTCGCCAACACTATCAAGCAACAGGTAGAAGACTTTGGTACCATTGATATTTTTGTGGCTAATGCGGGTGTTCCGTGGAGATCTGGTCCTTTGGTGGAATTGGCTGGTGGCGAAGGGTCCGATGCCGCGTGGCACCGCTTGGTAAACATCGATTTGGACGGTGTTTACTACTGTGCCAAGAACATTGGTAAAATTTTCCAAAAGCAGGGTAGTGGTTCCTTCATCATCACGGCTTCCATGTCCGGCCACGTCGTCAACGTTCCTCAAAAACAGTCTGCGTACAACGCCGTTAAGGCTGCTTGCCTACACTTGGGTAAGTCCTTGGCCGTGGAGTGGTCGCACTTTGCCCGTGTCAACACTATCTCTCCGGGCTATATAGTTACCCCTATTGCTAAAAATATCCCACAAGAAAGAATCGATAGTTGGTTGCCGTTGATCCCAATGGGTAGAAGGGGTTTACCACAGGAATTAGTGGGTGCTTATTTGTATTTGGCCTCGGATGCCTCCACTTACACTACTGGTACCGATATCATTGTTGATGGTGGTTACTGTGCTCCTTAAAACAGACTGGTTATCGACTCTCGATATCTCAAGTTACTGGAATTTGGTACAAAGATTCTTGATAAATATGGACCAAGGTAGAGATTTACCGTTGCGTCTAAACTAGAGTGAGCTTGAGGAAGAACTGTGTCCGTGGTTGAAGATGTACACACACTCGATCCTCTTACAGTCCGCTGGGTTGAAAAAAGTGTGTTTTCGTATATGGGATCCCTGTATTGAGCTTGTGTATGGAATTCCTAAAAATATTATAAATGGTCTTCAGTGTAACTATGTTTGTAATCTTATGAAGATAAAGATAAGTTGGATATTGTGCTATTATCCAGGTAATTGATCGCGTCTAAAAGCGTAGAAGGCTAGGTGTCAAGCTCGTGAAAGTCTCTGAGAGTTTTTTGCTCATATTAAGCACGTTTGATTTAGTTTCAATAAGTACATGAATTACTACTAGGTACTGTTAAAATTTATTCAATGGTAGGTACTTTTTTCACCATTTATTGAATGCGGGTGACTCTTCATTCGTGATCGCTATTTGATTTTCGATATATAAAAGCGCTTTTAGGATGCTGTCTCTGATTAAATTCACTTCGAATTCAACCTCATAGTAAGGGTAGATGCTGTCCATATATGTACTGCCTTTTTTACATCTCAAGTCTTCCAAATCATTAAGCCTCTTGATTCGGGAAAGTTTTATCTCGAACGGCTCAAAATACTCCTCAATTAACCTTCTAACAGTTTTTTTTTGGTTTTTCCAGAACTCCACAACCGTAATATTGGAGTAACTCTGCTTTATGTCCATCGAATGGATAATCCGATAAAACTCATGGTGGAAATCCTTAACGCTACTGATCAAGTCGTTCGTGTAGAACCAGGTGGCCAGTTTCAAAAACGTATACATATTATCAGAGGAGTCCCTAATAATATCTAAAAAGTCTAACTGCTTCGCCTCAAAGAACTCCCATTGGTTGTTGATGGTCATCAAAGATAGATGCGAAGGCGGAGAGTACATTTTCGGGGTAGGAAATTCCCCAGAGTGATTTGTCAGGAAGTTGGCAATTTCCAACCTAACATCATTGTTGATCTTGTAGAGGAGATTTGATAACGTGATTTTCTCTTTGAGCAAAGTCAACTTGACCCCTCTCTGGAATCCCGCCTGATGCTGCTTCTGTATCTTGCATAAGTAGTCACTATTCTCCGATATTGTAAGGATTAACTGATCTATAAACTCAATGTCAGAAACACAAATTTCGGAGGCTCCATCGGCATAGTACAAGGTGTAGTAAGTCTTGGGTAGTGTGCTATTCATCGTGTTTATATGGGCGGTGGAATTTTCCCATTCTCGGAGTATGAGGGCCATGGTGTTGATCAATTGGGAAGCTTTGGCCTCGTAGTCTTGTTTTGATGTTAGCAAGTTAGCCGAAATTTTGTTGAGTTTGGGTGACTTTGCGACATTATCCACCAAACCATCTCCTGGTATTTTTTTGGGCCCGATGCACACCGGAGAGTATCGGATAAAAGTATCATTCTCTACGATAGCCCTCCCATGGGTATTTATAGTCAGAACAGATTCTAGGGGCGGTATTGATCTAGAAGTTTCCTTTGATACGTTTGGAGCTTCCGTAATTGAAGATCCCTGGGGTATGTCATACAAGGTAGGGGAACATGAAAGGTCCGGCGAGCAGGAAATTAGGACTCTTGTACCGGTGCTATCCGAATCCCCTCCAGTTTTTTTGAGATACTGATGCCTGGCATAATACCTGTACCACTCAAACACATACGTCATCACAGATTTTTCGTCAGGGCGCTCGCAATCCAAATCTTCAAAGTCAAGCAACATCGGAATCCCCATATGCGTCTGAGCTAGCAGAAAAACGGTTCGAATATTGTGTTCAACCTCATCGTGGTTAATGGTAGCATAATTCAACAAATCTGGCTTCATATGGGAAAACAAATTGCAGAAAGCCGTTCCGTCTTTCCAACTTATTGAGAAATCGGAAAGCTCCTTGTCAAGGGGAGGTACTAGCTTGTTGTACCAAGCAAGCAAACTTTTCTTAATGCCTGAACTGTCCTGGTAATAGTTGCGGCATGATACACCACTGCTCCGCGGGTCATCTATGTGTGGAAGCCTGAAGGCGGTGTATCGTATAAATATGAGCCAGATCAACCCTAAGATTAATTTTAAGTTTCCCTCGACGATATCCTGGGCACCGATACTGCGGATCTGTATTTTGGCGTCAAACCTGAGGTATTCAAAGATGGCATTGATGTTTTCCAAGGCTTGGAATTTGAGCTTGGGTTTCTCGTGGATAAGTTTAACCAGACATAGCCGCTCAGAGGATCCGTATTTGGTATTAGCCGATTTGAATTCAAAGTCCTGGAGGGCTAACGTATTTACCAATTGGGAAAGAAACATGCCGTCTGAAAAGTCCTTGGTCAAGCAGGAGAGGTTTGTCTTTAACTTCATATTAATCCACCTGAGAAACGTCTTGTGCTGGACGCCCAATGCATCCTTGGCCGACTTGCTTAAGGGTGTCGTATACGGGTATGGTACTGCCATAGGTAAAATAGCCGTGGGGCTGAGAACGCTTGTTCGAGTAGCAATGAATATATGGGGAGATACCGTTAAATCTTTAATGGCAGGTTCGCTCAATTCGAATGTGTCTTTCGATCTATGCCTTGGCGACTGAAAGATATTACTGAGATGTAATACTATATAATATCTGGTTCACAGGCTGAAACATGCTTCGTGATGGTGAGACACGTCTCAAACTCTGTGCTGCCTGCATTGTATCATAGTGGGTACAACAATCCTCAATCACGAATATTCCGCGCGGGGCACGGCTCAGAACGCTGCCAAAATTTTCGCATCCGGTCAATATGATACAATACGGGATTATTTAAGAATTCGTAAGTTCTCCTGTCACTTTCTGATGTATTTGTCTTCTTCGCGAGAGCCTTTCAAAACCATCCACGACACCTTGTTTAGACAAGAATGGAAGGGATTGCTGTACGGGCTACCTTCAACATATTAACCCTTTGAGTATCTTATACGCCCGACAGTAGCTCGCCTCAGCGGCTATCTTGCATCTTTACGGTTGTGCAAGGTGTTACCAGAAAGGTAAAGCACAAACCCCAGTTCGTGGCTACCGATATAAGATCTATTCTTCAATTAAGTAAATGTTAGGTGTTTTCCTCTTGAAACACGTAAACCTAATAAATCCATTCCCCTACAATCACTTCAGAACCTGTCTTGTGTAAGCTAAATAGGGCTACAGCAGATCTCCACTAAAACTTGGTGTGGAAGAACTTGTGTGACATAGCCTCGGTGGCGGTCAAACGCTCCTGGTGGTCATATCTCACCAACTTGTCGATAAAATCAACAACCGTAGTGTCCGACGCCATGGCCCTGTTCTTGTCGTTGGCAAAGCTGGCCCACGGCTTCCGTGGGTAGTTGCCCAAGATCTTGTCAAACTCGGACGAGAGCTTGATGCCGTACTTGTTCAAGTACGCGGTGAGGTCCTTCGTGCCCAAAACCTTGGCAATCTTGACGAGCTGGTCGTTGTTGGAGTCACCCTTGAAGAACGGCTCCTTCTGGAATACAATCGCCGCCAACATGCACCCCACGGACCACAAATCCAAGGAGTAGTCATACTGCTGCAAGTTGACCAACAACTCTGGGCCCTTATGGTATCTGGACGCAACCCTGACGTTGTAGTCCATCCCGGAGTGGTAGAACTCGGCCAACCCCCAGTCGATCAACTTTAACTTCTTCTCAGTCGGATCGATCATGATGTTTTGCGGTTTCACGTCTCGGTGGATGATCCCCATGGAGTGACAGTAGTCCAACGCGACCAACAACTGCATGAAGTAGAATTGTAGGTCCGATAAGGTAAAGGTCGGGTAGAGCACCCGAAAATCGACGTTGTTAACCTTTTCAAAGATCAACGCAGGAATACGCGATTGTTTGTCCTGGATCAAGTCTAATAACGCTACGATGTTTGGGCCACCCGTCAAGTTCTGTAGAATCTTGATTTCTCTGTAAATCTTCTTGATTTTGACCGGTTTCAACACCTTGATAACGCACTCCTGGTCGTTCAACACATTGACCCCCAGAAACACCTCACTATACTTTCCTCTTCCAATCTTGGAGATGATCTCGTAGTCGACAATGTCGCCCCAGTTGATTTCGTGGTGATTTTCGTAGTCCCAATACTCCTTGGGTCTCTTCTGGTTGGCATCCGCGTACACCCTGGCGACCGAGTACACTCTCGCAGCTTTGGACATGTTTGGCTTGTATGCGTTCTTTGTTTCCCGGTAGTAATGCCCGTGAACTGCTGCTTGTGCAAATTTGGTTGGCGTGGACATATGTGGCGTGTCTTCGGGCCCCGGGATTTTATTTTTGAGAAATGTACAAGGGGCAGGTGCGGCGTCGAGTCGCGCACGCCCTAGATCCTGAGGCTATGATAATGATTCGATGTTCAAAAACGGGGGGAGCTAAGCAAGTGATGATTCGAAATTCAATGGTTTGTAAGTTCCAGTCATGTATTTCGGTTGGGTGTTTATAAGTGATGGGCTTGGCACGTATAAACGGGACAGCGATCTTCCCTGTGGTACGGTCCAGCCCTATTTCTCCGATTCCTTTAGAAGGAGCCCCATCTCCAAAGCCTTTTTAATTGTGCTAATCTCCTGGCCGGTTTTAGTGATGGTGGATGTTTGTTGCGTCACGAACGCGGTGTGGTTGTCCATAAGCTGGTCCAAGCCTGTGGATAGCAAGGCTAGTTGGGTCTTGAAAACTGCGAACTTGTCTCGCTGAGCAGCTTCGGGGGATGGCAGATCAGGGTTTTCCATTATAGGAGGATGGTTTAAGATGTAATAGACGGTATGGATACTCTGGGTATGTATGACTAGGGAGAGGCTTTCAGTTCTGCTATGGAGAGGCTGGAAAATTTTGGCAGCTGCAGACTTATGTGAGTCCATGTTACCGGGCATCTGTGCGGCGAGTCCTATCTAAACGTCGGGCGCACAAATTTATGGAAACTATATAACTTGTCGTTATTTATTAAATATTCATTCAGCCTTTGTAGCAAATTTAGGCTGAATACTGATCGTCAAAGGTGGTAGCAGTGAGGCGAGCCGAAATATCGCTACTGGCTATGTTCTATGCTATAAATGCTGTGTTATAGTTAAGAGGTCTGGGATTCTTTTATACTTCTAAAATCCATACAGACCTACTGCAACTTCATGAAGTACTTTTCGGTTCTGATGCCTTTTCTTTTTTTTTCAATAAACACGGACTTATCCAAGCACATTCATCAATTTCTCCACCACATCGTGGATATCTTCAAGCTTGTACGCCTCCAGAAGCTGTAGGTCACGCCAGCCGTTCATGGTTTTTAGCTTAAACATTGCCGATTTGTATGTGATGGAATAAATTTCCTTAAAGAATAGTAGCTCCGCCTTGTCTGTGGTTGAGGCGGAAGTGGACGATGGTTTGGAGTATCCACGAAGCCGCAACTCAGAGTAAATGACATTTTGGAGAGTTTTGGAAACCTGCGAAGCCTTGATTCTGGTTTCGTTGTGCGTGAATGAGGGTACTGGAAGCGAGTCTAGATCCCCATCCACCGAGTGTCCGGATGGAGGCTCTGGAACCACGTCTAGTGGCTCTTCGATCACCGTCAGCTTGGATTTGGGGTATTGCCCTGGGAACTGGTACGGGAGGGACTTCTTCCGTAAGAGCACTCTATCGAAGATATCCTCCGGCTTGGGTTCTTTGGTTGTATCCAGAAGGATTTTCATCTTCATTACCAACTTCTGGTTTTCTTCCATGTCGTGGTGTATTACAATATGCTGTGACAGGCCGTATTGCCTGGCTAGTATGCCAATGTCACTGTTGAGTCTGATGTACTCGAGGTACTGTTTGAAGAACGACTGGGTAGTGGCGTTGTCCGTTAGCACGCAAAACTGGCCGGTATGACGCAAGCTATCGGGGAGTAGCGTTCTGTTGATTAAACACACGCCGTGAAAGAGTGTGTTATCAGCTTTAAGAAACCTCTCGACGGCCTTCTCATGGCTGGGGGGAGCCCAGAGCTGGAGGTCTGGAAGGATCTCGGGTGACTCATCAAGCAGGGTATTTGCTTTTTCAAAGAAAATACCTTTGGGTGATAGAGAGACACTGGCAATATGCTCCATTGCTTTAAGATGGAAGCTTAATGACTGCTACTCTGCTCAAAAGTGATGCTTAAGCAACAACGGTGATTTTCATAGAGGTAAGCCGCATGACGTTTTGCACGTGATTTTATTTTTCCGTGCATGTTTTTGCTTTTTTGGTGGTATCAATGTTTCCACCAGTGCTAACTATTACTCTGACTTTGAAATTTGGCGTAATAATACGTGAATCTTGTGGGGTCACGAAGGCGGTGATAGCGAAATAGGCGATAGCAGTCTGAGGCTGTCATTACACATTCTAAGGCTTTAAACTTAACACCAACACCAAACAGTACGTATACATATATATTGTTATGCTGGAACCCTGTCCTGTCTGGTCAAAGAAATCTTTTAGGTGTATGTATAAGGTCGGGCTGGAAACGGCCTATTGAGATCCACTCCCATCAGCACACGGCAGTGACGGTGTCATGGTTCAATACATACGAAATTTCGAGCAAAGATTTTTCGTCTAGTTAACCTAGGTGAAAGGCCGTGGTTGAAACCTGCCAAGACTTCTTGGACTTCCGGTGCATCGCAAGGGCTTTTCCGCTCCTACTATCCGTTCAGAGAAAGTAAGCACGATATCTGCGTACGTAGACCTAACACTCGATGAAAAACAGGCCAGTCGTATGCACGAGGTATATCGACGTGAGAAGGGCTATTCCTGTACCGCTATATGGACATGCCTACTCGTTCAACCCCAGCAGGAGGCTAGACGAGGCTCCCTGCGTCTAAGCTGTACATATCAATACTAGGTTTTAAAGGAGAGTAGGAAAATGCCAAGAGATCTGATGCAACGCTTGAGTCCACATATCATACAAGCCATCCACGTGGCTGTAGCCCTCTTGCCAAGTGGTTCGATTTGGCTACAGAATTACGGCCAAGAACACCAAGCCCTAAGTGTCACACCACCTGTTGGATGAAACGCTTGTAAGACGGCCATGAATGTCTGTATAGGGATAAGGTGGATGTCGTGTAGATGAGATTCCTCTATTCCCATCGGAATCACCTAGTTCTCGTCTACTCACGATTTGCGACGATTAATATCACTACTCGTGTAGTTGATCGGACTAATTCTGTAGGATATCCCGTGTAAATCTATGGTTTTCATCTCTTGTAAACGCACACTAGTGACACAAGCACTATGTTATTGTGTGGTTGAGAGTATCCTCTCCAAGATTCTTAGGCCATATCTGAAATATGCATCCCAAAAAGGCCTCAACCGATGGATAATCAGGCAACTTGGCAATCTAGAGCAGTTTCTAACGCACAAGGTGCTACTCTGCAAATTTTCCACCTGGAATGATAGGATTTCTACCATCCATATCTCCGCACGTTCAAATTTCAAAGTGGGGTTTTTTTGTATGACCAGCGTCGATATATTTCTGGTTATCACGTCACAAGGCTAAATACTGCTCTCGAGTTAACGAGTATTTTTCCTAACCATGAACTTTTCTCGAAGCACAGATAAAGTTAGTGTAACGAAAAAAAAAAACCGCTCTTTGATCGCCGCCTAATGTAGTCTTTGGCCAACAAGCTCGTCAAATTAATAATAACATGAGCAGTTATGTATTGGCCGTATTTAGCTATAGGTCGTATAAGGGATATGTAGCTATAAAAATTTTAGCCAATACATGCAGACGATGACGTAGCAGTTTGAGCCCAGGCCAACCTCCGCTGAATGCGGTAGGTTTGTCTGAGTCTTGGCAGCGCACAGATATTGGTATGTACCCAAACTCATGGCTGGATACCAGACCAAACATCTGTAAATGGATATTATAGTCGATTTATTCATTGAGGGTGTGCCGTGCAACTATAAGGAGGTCTTGGCACCTAGAAAGGAAGCTTGGTGCCAAGTATATCAAGTTTCACCAGAGTATCCATTTCCGCTCGTTGGCTAAAGGTATGTAAATTAGGTTTCCCGGAAATAACTAAAGTTCAACGAACCTCAGTTGAGGATCAAAGAGCTTTTTTGCCTTAGAGCTCCGAATGTAAGCTGGCCACCAATGTCGATATTTGTCTTTCAGAGAATGAAACTGCACGTGTCTCTTTCTCGCGGACGTGTGGAGGAATTTGATTCCTACGGCGTACGGGTCATCGTGTATATTTTAGGGCACGTCCCCAACCTTCGCCAGCACTGTCAAAGCGGTTTAATTGATAACAGTAATTGGAGAAGCTAGGGCGTTCGAAATTCCCCGAACTTTTTTTTCTTTTTCACCAGGCTTATTTTTAGAACCTTCACGAGGTGACTCGAAAGATTCTCGGCGGAACATGCATAGAAAATAGTTACGTGCATGAGGCATAGATCTTGCCACAGTGTCACGGCTTTTTCGGGTCCGCCTTCCCCGAAAAGGTGCACAGTATGGTGCAGGCCACGTCAGACACATGTATCTGTTAAATAAACGCATGTGTCCGTCCGCTGACGGCTTTTACGCTACAACTTGCCGCAAAATCCGGTAAAAATGGGCACATGGGTTGGGATGGAATCCCGCGTTTTCTTTCAACCCAGATAGTGGCGTAATGCAAAGCACGGGGCAGGGGTAGTGTAATTACGACCAAAGTGCATCTTGAAGCCTACAAGGCACAGCTTACGTAGCTTGAGTACTCCCATTCCACCCCAGCGATATGGCTGAAGTCGCTACGCCTCCCAGGACAATTCTCCCTCGGGTGCTTTTCATGGGCAAAGGGAGTACCGACTCAGTTACTTGACATTTTGTTGCCTAAGCAGATGTCTTTCCATTTCTCTCGTTATTGTTACCACAGGTGCACACCCTTTTGGGGGGTTGGTGCGGTTTCCTATCTCGGGGTCATTTCTATGGCACGGAAGTCTACATGTCTCAGGGTTATTTTTCCGCTCATAATTCCGTTTCATTGCATGCAGGTTTGTCTGCTTTCTCAGACATAACCTTGTCCTGTATGGAAGGGTAATAAATCATGCTTAAGGCCAGGCCATACAGCGAATCTTGGTGGTGTAGTGTTAACGATGCCTCTCTGAGGGCCAATTTGGATTATTAATGAGGGGACGTGCTTGAGAGATCTATTTTCTGGTGCCACCGCCAAGAGGGAAATTTCACGTATGGATGCATATTTCCCAACTTTCCGCGCAGGGCTTGAAGATTTTCCCGTAGATCGATGGCGCGGTGCGGACGAATTCTGGAAGCCTTCTTTTAAGGAATAACGGTTTTCCTGCGGTAGACTCCAATCTCTTTATAGGGTAAGGAATAGGGGCTTTTTGAGTAAAATATCTGTTATAGACTGCAACCCGAGGTGGAGGCTTTATCGAGGGGTGATGAATGGATATCAAGAGGTGATGAATGGATATCAAAAGGTGATGAATGGATATCAAGAGATGATGATTGGCTATTCAGGAGTAACGATTGGCTATCAAGTGCTTATACAGTACCAGACCACTCCCGTTTATATATTGCCATAATTCCATAGACAATTTCGCAGGTGTCAATACCACCTCAAGGTAAGAACCTATAGTTGTATTTCATCGACCCGGAACTGAGAGATTTGGACTGCCTTCTGAGGAGAGCCAAAATAAATTACAGTGCATGGATATCAAAAGATATATACCTGTTATACGTAACGAAATGGCCAGACCGCTTCGGCGCTATAGTATGTCTCAGAGATTGATTCCAAAATAAATAATACTATCAGATAAGTTGAACTAGTTGGTATTTTACCCTCCATGCTCGAAAGTGGATAGTTGTAAGTTTGAAATCTATATGATACAACAATGCCGGCGGCTTAAGTGCTCCCAAGTGGCATCTTTTATTCCATGTTGACCTTATTTGATACATTAGCCCTCGATACCCTATTGCACGTACTTGCATTACTTTACCTATAAGCCAAAGGATTCGAGCTGCGTGTTTAATCCTTGCTTTTTAAATGCTCCCGTTCACACTAACCTGTCAACTCCGATTTCATAGGAAGCTCCAATCACCAAATCAAAGGTTTGCTTGCTCTCCCGGTATGCTGTTCGTGCTCCATAAGGTGTGGAACGGACCAGAAGCTTGAGCTCTAAATTTTATTGGCTCATTCAAAACTATCAAAGTACCAAATAAACGCTACGGTGGCCTATTATTGGCATAGAAGGTAACCCCTCTTACGAGATTACATTATTATATGACTTAATACTCCCTTTGGATTTCGCCCAGAGCTACCTTTGATCGTAAGTTGCCCCGAATTTCAATTAATGAATATGTACATGTGATATGAGCTTTTCTGGCCTGGCATCCTTCGCACAGAACTTAAATTTATGAACATTACTATGCATGAAAAGTTCACAGGGTACATCAGAATTCCTGACCTATGCCATATTGTACAACTATATTAGAAATATACAAATGAGCAATCATCATGTCAAGCTAAATATACTACCCTATGATAATATATACAGTTTCTTATTTTAATAGTCTTTCAGATATCTATATATTTGGTTGTAAATTACATTTATTGTTGTATTTACAAAAACTTGATCAAAATATAAAGTCCGAAAATATATAACTAGTTATATTCATGTTGTAAATAATCTACAATAACCATACCGTGCACTTTCGATTAATGACTAAACGTATATGTATACATACTACAGTTAATAAGATTTCCCAGACACTCGTCAATGTCAATTACCAGATCTGCACATATATATTCTTGTGCTAAAGGTTTGGCCCGTCATGCAAATCATCTTCACAACGTACAATCCATCCCTGACAATCCCTGATTGTTCATGCCAGCAACCCTGACAATGGCAATATATCACTCCACTGACCTATAAATGACGGTGTAATGCTGATTATACTTTCCGGACGAAGTAAGGGTTTGGGACCTAGAATGTGAATGGCCGCAAGCAGCGCTGTTTGCGGCAACCAGACTTGGATTGCTGTAAACCATAGTCAGGAGTGGGGCGGACATTGCTAAACCTAAAACAAGCTAGGGACTCGGGCGGGGATTAAACCCGCACAAACTCTAAAAGGTGTCAACGAGCAACAGGCCAGAGTTGGAAGCCAATGTACAGGTGGTGAGACGGTATCGTTGCAGTTGCTCGTATAACGGCTTAATTAATAAGAAGCAATGTACTAGACTATCGGGCATATCTATCTTTGTTTGGCCAAGGACCTCATACTAGCAGAGTCCTTCGAGTCCGGCTCCTGCCATACATGCTCACTGGTCTGTTTGGTTGGGTAGTCTGGCTCGTGGCTGATGAGGAGAGCTTGCGCAAGATAGTCGCATGTTACGCACAGTATCTACGGGGGTATGAAGAGTTTTTCCGCTGCGTCTTTACTTATACTTTGGCAAAATGCCTTAAAAGTTGCGTGTGCAGCTAAAAAGAAACGGGAGCAACTGACGCATGCACTGCAGCAGTGTTGCAGAGCGCGGCGGGACGCATGCAGATTTCGTACGAACGCCGAAACTAGGAAGTAGGCTTGTGGCTATTTCAGATGGAAGGCATGCATGCATGTGTATGCCACGAGCTAATCATGCTTCTTGGGAGGGGGCCGACAATATTTCCATGTGAAGTACAGTGGGGCGAGCTAAAGCGCAGCCTTTTTACAACGACATATTTGAGATGCCAGTCATGGGTCATAGAACACAATTAGAAGGGATCTGCTCAGGTGTTGCATCAAGCAGATTTACGAATTTGAAGCCCTCCCATATATAATAAACTTCATTTCCCTCTCTTTCATCATCCAGCTTAGATGTATTATGCCTACCTCTTCGCTTCTTTACCCGCTACACATTTTCTTTCCCCTTAACTCATAATACCATATACGATGCTTGCTCCTTGTTACTCTTTTGATGATTGCGTTACGTCAGCCAAGGCCCACCCCAACCAGGCGGTAGACTATTTCTCCTCCACCTTATCCGACCACCAGTACTTCAAGGGCTGGCAACAAGTCAGATCCAAGTGCCCAGAGGTCAAGCAATCCTTGCGTCATACTTTACCATCTACCTGCATTGAAAGATTGGAAAATGTCATCTGGCGCAAGTGGTACAAGGTTAAGAACCAGTCTGGAGAGTTGAACCCGGAAGAGATTAACTGGTTCAAGGAGAACGATATCACTTGCTTGTACGGTCCTTTGTTTGCCCACAAGGAAATCTCTCCTCCCGCCAGATCCTCCTCCAGCGTTTCTCCACTAGCCATCCCGTCTCACATCAGAAGATCCGAGTCGACCGATTCTTTGGATTCTTTCTCGTCTTATGAGTCTGAACACATGATGGAGATACACTCCAGAACTTCCTCCGCCTCCTCCTGCTCGCCTCCAGTCTCTGATGAGTTCATAGCTTACCAAAAGAACATTCTTTACGACAAGCCACGTTCAATCTTGAAGCAGGACTACTCGGATTTGCCACACTACAACCACGTTCCCTATGCTGTCTCTTGCAAGAGAATGGCAGAGACTCCGGTTGCCCAGAAGATGCAAAGAAGAAGAATCCAGTTCAATCACGTCGTGAGCAAGAGAGAGATCATTAACACGCAGTTTTACGATTACTCCTACTTGGACTACGAATTGTTGCATTGACCTTGAGCGTTCCGTCCTATACATATCGCATTCCCAGATCTATACTTGCATAGCACCCTTCCCACACACACTGCATCACTATATTCATTTCGGTTCCTCTTTGCTTTTGCTGGTCAAAACTTCTTCCTGTTGGTCTCTGTTTTTATTAGATCTAGACCTTTCCCACTCATGTTCTATCACTCCTGGTTCATATCTCGGCTACCCTTCCTAATTTATGGTAATCTATCGTTTAATCCACCGTGTAAACCCTTCTACGTAGCGAGCGGTTGAAACACCGTCTTTTGGTTCTTTTTGAAACGCTGTCTTTTGGCCCCTTTTGAGGGTGGCTGGTGTTGACTGCAGAATTTAATCTAGTACCCCCAGAGAGTGGTACGACTAAAAGGGGTGCAAACGACCCCGTCATACCCCATCCCCTAAAACCTTTCATACCCGAGTGTGGCAGGCTACATCAACCTTTACCGCCTGAGTACCAAAAACCCAAACACGTTAACGTTGTTCTCTTATTCTCATTAATGCCACAGCCACTCACAAGGGTTAGGCCGGCTTGCCCGCTCAAATAACCGAGATATAGCTTAAGCATCAAAGTGGATATGTAGCTTGTCTGCTGTAACATCGCCTATCCCTTCGAAGGCCTTCTGGAGTTCGAGGCTCTTCACCAGGAGCATGCTAGCGTCATATTTTGATTAACATGTGCAATACCACTGGTCTAGAGCCGGAAAAAAATACCGCGCACAGGTTTACCTTCGTACGTAACCACGAAGGATACTAAGGTTTATCCCTCTTAAGGTTTTCAAAGGGAGCACCAGCAAACTTTATTACCACTGGAAAAGGTTCTAATCGGGTCTAGCCTTTATTCTTGAGGGCGCCTGGGAACAGCCGCACAGGTATGCGATAGTGGCGGATGGATTTAATACGGGCGGAGTTACAGGACGTTACTTTAGATGCCGCGTCACGAGATATTATCACATGTCAAGATAACAACTTCCGCCGCCTACCACCAGCTTTACCAGCTTTTTGGCTGCCCATGGGGCACAGGGTGCGATGATCATGTAGTCAAGTTGGAATAAATTCATAATGTCATATTCGGTTTGTAGACCTTCCAGAATAATCGTCGATGTGTACCGATTTGATGTTTGGGGGCAGGGTGATTCGGGACATCGAAGGTCTTATAACAGGTAATGAATGGTTTACTGTTATTTTCCTGAGAAGAGGGATATCAGTTTATAAAGTAAATTCGATATAAGGAGGAAGAGATTTATGAGTATGAGTACCGATGATTCTGAGCTTACTGATTGAATCTCATAGTATCTATGTTATAGACTTTACCTGCGGTATGTATTCCTGATAACCTCTGATAATCCCTGATTGCATATATCGAGCAATAGATGGTAAGTCATCTGGTTCCATACATTCACGATCCTCGTTTACTTTTTAATTAGGTATAATAAAATACCTCATCTATCTACCAACCCCTCTAGCTTATATATCCATTACTATGCATTAGTATCTTGGTTATGTCTGATGAATAGAAGAGGAGCCACAGTTTACGCACCCTATATAACGTCTATCACGGTGAACACAAAATGCCGTGCTTCCAAGTTGGACATTAGTTATATCGCCCTTCCAGTCATGGAGTAGAAACTGCTGCAATTAATACGCTTGGGGTATCCAGCAAGTCTTACCACCCAGAGAAGATAATTATGTCTTATGCTCCAGGGAATGGAATAAAAAAAAAGAGAGCTAGAATCTTAACGCAGGGATAATGTATGGGGTGCAATAGAAGTGTACAAGTCTATTAGAGGCAACGCAGATAGACCAGGGACACAATTGCCATAGACTTACATGCGCGAAGACCGGGAAAATCAAGCGGTGTATGACAACTATGGTTTACGGTAAAAAATCGTTATCGAAAACGGGAAGCCAGGAAATTCGGGGCAGGCGTTTCCTAACTACGACGTTCAGCTAGAGAGCAGCCCTGAACGTTTGGTAGGACGGGCGATATAGGCATTATCCAAAATATAAATGAGTGTTGCATTATCATGGACGATTATGGAACCTCGTTGATGATATGCGGCACCAGGGATTCCAAAGTGGCACCCCTTGACCACTACCCACAGATATTTTGCATAGACCACCATACGTGCGAATTCTAGTCTGGAGCTTATTTTCTATTCATCGTCACGTTCCCAGGGATTGGCGTCCGAAGAAAGCAATCGAAGCAGGAATATATTTATATGTAGCAGTGTTGCCATGCACGTTGATTGCTCTGTAAACTCCCCTTATAAAAAGTAGAGTCAATCCTCGTCTAAGTTTAGCTCGCACGCACGCTCGAGAGCTGCGGAGTGTAGTAGAGTCGAAATTACATTGCGACGAACATGCGTGAATACGCACGAGAAGATACCGGAAAAACTCCAGGCAGCCGAACATTCGCTCTTAGTATTACCCCACATCTAGCCAGATTCTTATACAAAGGATAAATTCTGACGCCGAAATAAACTTTCCGGGTAACAAACCCCATCAATTTTTGTACCACGCTCAATATTGTTGAACGCATAACAAGGCCTCTTCCACACAAGAGGATATGCAAATATTGGTGAGGCTTAGGCTATCTAACTTCATTTACGGACTTGGGCTTAGCATACTAAACAGTATGTTTCACACACACCTCGAGATCCCTGCGGAATAAGAGGCGTATGCCGGCGCGCATTACAGGTCGCACTCCCGATGCGGGGAATTTCGTTGGTGCTAACCCATTACTCCCCAACGTATATTTATACTCATATCCAGTTGTTGAACACATACGTGTACATATTACGCTTCCCCGCAAAGATACAGTTTTACAAGTTAAGAGTAGGTACTTTTTGTATGGGCGGAAATGGTCCCGAAAATACGGCGTTGGTACACAGGACTCGCTGAGGTCTGATAGCTAGGCCAACCAGTTGGAACGGACTTGGATCCATAACCATGGCTAGGAAAGACGAGCCTGCTCAGCAGTATTTACCTTTTAGCCTCATTAGGTGTTACGCCCTCGTTATATGGTCCATTCGTGGATTCCTTACAAATCGTTGTACTGCATCGAATGATGACGTCTGTCCTGGAACAGCAGGCATGTCTCGGATTAACTACGCATACGGCAATGACTAGCTGCTTCTCCGGTAAAAACGCAACTAGCCCGCGTCGAATTCCATAGGCAGTTTTAGTGCGCATTATGCAGCTGAGTAAGTGCATATAACTCTATAAGTTACGTGCAGCTCTAAGGCAGTTAACATAGAGCACCAAACAATATCAGTACAAGGGTGTTTGATGAAAAAGGCTACTTAATTGGGAGCCCACTCCTTATACGTATATGTATGGCGAATATCGCGAAAACATGCACAATCCCGGTTAGGATACCCCATTTTGATCGAATTTCGCATTTCATGGGCCAGAATCAAGTCGCAAGCGATATGCGTAGGGCCGTAGAGTCATACCAATGTAGTACCTAGAAGGATTAATGGTAAGAGTAGAGCTGAAGACATACATACAAGGGTACTTTAGTAGAGTAATACACAGCGAGTAAGAATTACAGTCATTGTATAGGACAGATGGCTGCTTGACATTGCGTGACCTAATAGCGGAGGGCATGGGGTATACAAGAGGTTGAAACACAATCAACACCCGCGTAACTTACATTGTTCGAAATGATCCAGGGCTGATGAAACCATTGATATATAAAGCAGTTTATAATCATGCTTCAAGGAGAGATAGATAATTTATCGCAAAAGCGAACTTTAGGTTTCCTACAATCTACAAAAATCCTCCCATCTGATTGGCAACGTGGCCGAGCGGTTAAGGCGAAAGATTAGAAATCTTTTGGGCTCTGCCCGCGCAGGTTTAAGTCCTGCCGTTGTCGTTATCTTTTTACCCCAACAGAGATTATCGTTGTGTTCGTTCGTCAACTGAGCCTGTCACGGTACCACTCAGGCTCTAATCAATAAAACCGACTTGCTCTCTCAGGATACGATATAAGTGTCTTCTTGCACGGGACAGTCCAACATTGTCAGCGAAACAGTGATTTCCAGTTACCCATCAGGAGCGTAACCGCGTGCTGACGGTAATACCAATATATTATCTCTCCACGGATAACTGGAAGCGCTTTGAACGGTTAAAAACCGTGGGGCTAAAGGGTCCTTTTTGAAATCCCCACCCTGACTCAGCCGTTCCCCTGCATGTAGATCCTCCTCAAAGCCCTAAACCATTTTTCGTCAGTCACATGACAAGCCCTAGCAGTCTCAAAGGGGTAACCCTACTCAGGTCACGAGATACTTGCGGGTAACTGCCATGGCTCACAACTATGCGCCGAGGCACTTTTTTTTTCTTCACTCAGTGAGGGAAAATTTTTCACCAAAGCTGCAACTGTGTTCGTTATATATAAACCACTTTTCTCTTAGTAAAGTTTAATTCTTCTCCCTTTCTCTCTCCCCACCAACTTTTTACAATGTCTCACAGAAAGTACGAAGCTCCACGTCACGGTTCCCTTGGTTTCTTGCCAAGAAAGCGCTCTAGAACCCAGAGAGGTAGATGTAAGTCCTTCCCAAAGGACATCAAGTCTAAGCCAGTCGCTTTGACCGCCTTCTTGGGTTACAAGGCCGGTATGACCACCATTGTCCGTGACTTGGACCGTCCAGGTTCTAAGATGCACAAGCGTGAGGTTGTTGAAGCCGTTACCGTTGTTGACACCCCACCAGTGGTTGTTGTCGGTGTTGTCGGTTACGTCGAGACTCCAAGAGGTTTGAGATCTTTGACCACCGTCTGGGCCGAGCACTTGTCTGACGAAGTCAAGAGAAGATTCTACAAGAACTGGTACAAGTCTAAGAAGAAGGCTTTCACCAAGTACGCTTCCAAGTACGCCCAGGACGGTGCCGAAATCGAACGCGAATTGGCGAGAATCACCAAGTACGCTACTGTTGTCAGAGTCTTGGTCCACACCCAGGTCAGAAAGACTCCATTGGTCCAGAAGAAGGCCCACTTGGCTGAAATCCAGATCAACGGTGGTTCTATCTCTGAAAAGGTCCAGTGGGCCCGTGAACACTTCGAGAAGACCGTCTCTGTTGACGCTGTTTTCGAACAGAACGAGATGATCGACGTCATTGCCGTCACCAAGGGTCACGGTTTCGAGGGTGTTACCGCCAGATGGGGTACCAAGAAGCTTCCAAGAAAGACCCACAGAGGTTTGAGAAAGGTTGCCTGTATTGGTGCTTGGCACCCAGCCCACGTTCAGTGGACTGTTGCTCGTGCTGGTCAAAACGGTTACCACCACAGAACCTCTATCAACCACAAGGTTTACAGAGTTGGTAAGGCTGGCGATGAAGCTTCTGCCGCTACCGAGTTCGACAGAACCAAGAAGACCATCACCCCAATGGGTGGTTTCGTCAGATACGGTTCTATCAACAACGACTTTGTCATCTTGAAGGGTTCCGTTCCAGGTATCAAGAAGAGAGTCGTCACCTTGAGAAAGTCCTTGTACACCTCTACTTCTAGAAGAGCCACTGAACAGGTCAACTTGAAGTGGATTGACACCTCCTCCAAGTTCGGTAAGGGTAGATTCCAGACCCCAGCCGAAAAGGCTTCCTTCATGGGTACCTTGAAGAGAGACTTGAAGTAAGTTAAGTCGGTTATGTAGACCCAACTTTTGTTAGGAGTTGGTAGTATAGCTAATTTATTTGTCCTCGGACCTTATTTCAAAAAACACACTGTAGGAGCTTGTAAGGAAATTTGACGAGTTGAGGATCTGGGGACGATTTTCGGCACCGCTATTAGATGCGTACGTATGAGATGCCTTATATCTCGTTTTTTCTGCCAGTTCTTTGCGTTACAATCGTACTGCCATAACTACCTTTCTAAATTTTATAAAAACATCGATGAGTTGGATACGCCCAGCGATTGCAAGGGTAATACCAAATTCTCTGAGCTACAATGTATCAAGGCAAGTCTGAAAAAGGGGAATTGAGTTAGATGGGTCATCAAGTGCTCAAACTCGCTATTATTCGTCTTCCCCAATATCTGGGACCACTATCCCGATATATTCTCCCTCCCCGGTCCGCGCACTGCTCTTTGTCCGATCCACAATCTGGATGTCAAAGACCTCCACCATTGCCCTCACTAACACTTCGTTGTTTGCCAGCTTCTCCCGTGGGATGCTGAGCAACTGCTTCAAGTTTTGCGAGGACGGTAAGTTGGCGAACGCCTCCTCAGACTCGACGTATTCCTGGATTGGCCCACCACTCGCGGCCGCATTAGAGACGATATCCTTAAACACAGCGGTTTGGGCTGCGATATGGTAGGCCACCGGCTTGACCTCTCGCAATACCCGAGCCATTCCCACAGTATTTCCCCTTCCCTTCACCGGGAGCGGAAGCGACTTTTTATTGTAGTTTGGCTCCATCACAGCCTCCTCAGTCCTCGTTTCGGCACCCATGTCCATGCTATCGACATACTGGTCCATCAAGTCCTGCATCTCTTTCGTTGGAAACTTATCCGTGTACCTATGCTCCGTAAGGCCTTTCCCGTAGTTTGTTAACGCAGGAAAGTTCCCTATCTTTTCATCTTCCTTGAAAGGCAAACGGTGCGCGAGCAATGCATGGGCCGTGACCGGAAAACCGTCATCGCTGAGCTCACGCTTGTGGCGCGCAGCACCGACCGTAGGTGGCTCTCTGAACACAACAGGCACAAGCACCAACATCGAAACATCCGCCAGCTTCTTCTGCACGTACCGCGCCACCACATACAACTCCAGCTCTATCAACGCCTGAACAAACGCGTTGAAAGCCATTAAATCGCGGAACTGTGAAGTACTAGCAGGAACGATGTAGTTAGCTTCGTTGGCGGAAAAGTACCATGGCTGCAACTCGTCCTGCGGAACAAACCCGCGGATATCGAGGGCCTGCTGGGTGGGTAGCTTCAGTGACTCCGCTAACACCTGGGACAGCTGGATGAGATCTGTGGTTGTGTACTTAAACCCCTTCTCGATAGCCACCTCCTCCACCGGCACCTTCTTATACTCATCCCCGTCGTCAGCCCTGTACGGAATCTCGTAGTAGTATTCGCGGAAGCTCTTCACGCCGCGCACTTCGCCTCGATTGAGGTACGTCAGCGAGCCACTGAGCAATTTCTCTACGCGGATCGCGGGATACATCTCCACGGGAAAGCGGAGCGAGCCGGAATCAGCTGTATCGCCTACGCTGCTACCTAGCAACTGCTTCACGTTTCCCGCAAAACGCAAGTCTCCGGTGTATAGTTTGGTGGACTTGTAGTAGCGGCCAGGCGGATGCTCCAGTCGCGTGCGCAACAACGTATCGGTATCCGCAATCAACCCCGCGTTGTCATAGACCTTTTCAAACTTGTTAGTGTGGTTCCAGTCGCGGATGAGATCGTACCAGCGCCGCTGGTTATACTGCTGGGTGTGGTCCTCCGCCTTGACAGCACCTGTCTCTAGACCCACACAGTTGACGATCAATTGCACGTTAAATTGGCCCATAAGCTGGGACACGCCCGTAAGAAGCTCCGTGTCGTACTCCAACTCAGTGCGCAAGTTGGTTGTGAGCACAATCGTGCGCTTAACCCTGAGGTTTTTGTCGGGTTTGTCGCGTGCGCTCGCAGGCGTCGCCTCTATGAACAACTGCATTGCGTACACAAGGGCCTTGAACAAGTTGGCCTCGTACGCATCAGTGCGAATGGGGTCTGCATTTACGCGGCAAATCTCGCCCGCCATGAGCGTGCGGTACGCGTCGTATGTCATGTGGGTGAACGACTGGAGCAATGCCATGTTGACGTTGTGTTCGTCTGTGGAGAGCGAGTTACGCGTGGCTTTGGTGTGCACACCCACCACCGACACGATATCGGTTTTCTTCCCACGGATGAGTTTGCCTGCGAGAAGGTCCTTGACGTACTGGAGCCCGTGCTCCAAGTCGGTGGTGGCGCGTGCGTTGTGGACGGAGCCCATCGCCGGCGACAAGTCGACGATGAAACACGTGAATTCTTTCTCGGCCATTAAAGTGGAAAGCCAAGGGTCGAGATTGGAGGGCTGCGGTTAAGAAATTACTCTGAAATATGTCCGACAAAGGGAGTTTACCAGGAGCGTTAAGTTAAACTGGCTGAAAAGATGCCGCGGAACAATGCAGGCCAAGGGAGGGGTAATGCGGCATTAGTGAACAGATAAATGGTAACGCCGAATAAGCCATTAGAATTAATATTCAGAGTGCCGTGAAACAATGCGACTATTAGAATTGTAAAATTTCATACAATTGTATCGCCATGTACGCATATATTTTGTCTCTAGCAGGAAGTCATTTGGTGACCGAAAGCTAGGGAAAGTAGATGTGAAGGGAACTCTGAAGGTTTTACTAACAGTTAATCGCCAGGATAAAGAAAACGTTTCTGATGGTTTCATTGTGCCAATGGGGCTGAGGAGAGGTTCCGGCTTTTAAGGACTAGGATTATTTGCAAACTCTAACTATTCTATGAGGATCCCAGCGCTGACTTATCCAAACTTCAACCAAGTGGGAGGGAAACATGCATAGCTCCTTTACCAATCTATTATACATATCCAGCTGGCGATACTGCCACCGAATTAAGTACTGTATAGCGCTCTGACATGCACCGGACCAGGATATTCCAAGACTCGAACTGTGAAATACGAATTACAGGACAAGTCTCTTGGGTTCCCTATTTCTATTCTACAGTTAATTATTCGATATTATAAATTCTCTTAAGGTAAAAGTACGAAAAGGAGGACGTTAAGTCCTCCGAGCGAAACTGTCTAACACCAGAAGTTGTAAACTCTGTACCACCACGGTCTAGAGGCGACATAGGCCTTTTGTTCTGCAAGCTCTTGCCTCAAGACGTCCAAATCTAATTCTCTTCTCCCGGTATCGATGTCCATGTCTTCCCACTTAATGTAAATGGTATTCCAGGATTTGGTCCAAAATTTGTGGCCAAGATAACAGACAATAATAACCGGGAAGGCTAAATACGCGGAGAAGAAGTCAGATGCGTTCGGCTTACCTCCCAATGGGAAAAGTGCAACCCAGAATTGAGCAACCAAAATCAAAAGGTTCATAATCAAACCGTAATAGGACCCAATAACGCCACACTGAGATGTGAAGGCCAACTCGCCAGTGTCACGGCCCTTTTTCCCCAACGCATATCTGAATCTAATGTGGCAGAGACAAATAGAGCCCCACGTGAATACCGTAGACAAACCAGTCAAAGCCAACAACCAGTTAAAAATCGTACCTTCCTTTGAAGAGGCACCAAGGAAGCACAACGCACCAAAGGTACACTGGATTATGATGCCGACCAATGGTCTACCCATTTTGTCAATGTAATTAAACAGCTTAGGAGCAAGGCCAGCAGCACCTAATGCAGCCAAAGTTCTGGAGGAGGCAAATACACAAGAATTACCAACAGACAAGACAGCAATCATGATAACCACGTTCATGACAGAAGGCAAGCCCTTAATACCACCGTTCTTAATCGCAATGACAAACGGAGACGCCGAGGCATCAGCAGAAGAGGCCGAAAATAAGCGTTTGTCGGTATATGGCACAAGACAACCGATTAAGGTCAAAGAGATAACGTAAAACAAGGTAATTCTCCAGAAAACTTGCTTGGTAGCCTTCGGCAAAGACTTTCTTGGGTTCCGGGTTTCGGCCGCGGCCAAACCAGCCAATTCAGTACCGGTAAAGGAAAAAGCGGCCGTCACAAAAACAGTACAAACACCCTTGAACCCGTGAGCAAAGGCACCTGGATGGTACCAGTATTGCGCACCAATATAACCACCATGCGGTCCACCTCCACAAATCAAGACAATTCCCAAGATGATGAAACCACATACAGCGGTAACCTTGACGATGGAGAAAACAAACTCCGCTTCACCATAACCCTTGACACCAAAAAAGTTGATCGAGATAATGAGGGCGTAGAAAATCGAGACCCATGCAGCAGAATTAACAGAAGTGTTCCAGAACTTGATCGTAATAGAAGCCGCAACCAATTCCAAGGGCATAACAACCATCCACTGCAAACCATAGTTCCAAGCCATAGCAAAGCCCCACGAAGGATCGAGGAAACGGATGTTGTACGTAACAAAAGCACCAGACACCGGGAAAGTAACAGCCAATTCACCCAAAGCCTGGACGGTCGCGTAAATCATACTACCCACAAGAATCCAAGCAATAAGAATACCAGCCGGACCACCATGACGTAATGCAGATCCAGACCCAACGAATAAACCAGTACCAATAGCCCCGCCAATGGCGATCATTTGCAAGTGTCTGTTTTTCAACGACCTGGAAAGAGGAGAGTTTGCGGTAAGAATTGCGGTCTTTTCAACCTCTGTCAAGTTTGGATCAAGGTCCAATTCAGTGGTGTCGTATCTCCTGAACGAGTCTTTGAAGCCAGCCCAGCCGGTTAATTTTTCTGGCTCATGGGTAGCGTCGATGTTGTAGACGTCACCGGTGCCGCTTTCCACCAGGTTCTCATTGAGACTGGCAACGTACTTCAACTCCTTTTCTGGCATTGTGATTGTTCCAGGAGTCTGTAAGAGAAAGTTTTAAAGGGATAGTTTGCGTATACTGTAGGGTATGCGTGTTGAGAGAGAGACTGAGTCCATTTCTCCGCGGACCAAAGCTGCGTATTTATACAATCCAGCTTCGGCCGTTCCCTAACCCCCAGGACCGTCTGGCTTTCACCGTTGCAAAGCGAAAGCGCTCCTGTCAGATGCCCAAGTTGGTTCTGCCATACTGAAAGGGAGGCACAATCTATCAAAATCCGAGCTGCAGCTTTATCATCACGCGTTCGCCACGATAAGGCGATTTGCCGTGAAAACCATAAAACGCACAGCGAGAAGGCTGCATCGACTAGGGGGGTGCATGCAGTATTATCCTAACCGTGTGCCTGGGTCGAGGGTAGAAATACCTTCGGAGATAGTTATTCATGTGATGTAATGCTAGACACTGTGCCCTCGGTTTACCGGAAACATACAGCCGCCGAACGACACGCCCACCGTCAGGTGGAGATTAGGGTTTTGGGATGCGCCTCTTGTAAACTATGTTGAAGACCGTCGGGGGTCTATCAAACGTTACCCTTTCCAGATCACGCGTCACTTAGACCTAATGAATTAGAATGGTAATCATTCACGGCGTTTTACACTTTTGTGAGAGGTACGATTTATGTCCGGGATGTTAAGCGCATTGGAAAGGCTTAGATTGGACACATTAGCGTATGGTATGATTAAACTACGGATCGCCGTGCCACTTTCATATAGCGGTGTAGATTATCCATCATCTGTTGTGGAAAAAAAAGTCGTTTTCTGGTTTTCAAGGAGAAGTAGAAAGCCCGTGGTGTGACAGGGTTGCGACTAGGCGGGGAACCAGTTGTAAATGGAAATGGTGACATGCACAACCCCCAGTTTTCCTTCCCCTCGCTCAGTGTTAGTGCCGTCGGGGTTCTGGGTGGAGGGATGTCACTATAACCCTTTTAAACTGTATTTCCCCAGCAAGAAAGTCACAGCGAGAAACCCTAGAAGATTATATGGTCATCCTGGACCAGGTTTAGTCCTTCTGATGCTAATTTATACAGGTTTACGTATTACTTTAAGTTTTGGTTAAATAACTATTGTGAGTATGGAGGCCAACCTAGTTTAGGCACCGGCCACGGCATTTTTCCCCCAATAAGCATGCCAAAATTCGCTGACTGTTCCCCACAATATTTCTTTTAGTGCGAATGTCCTGTGCTGCAGGCTTGCCGATATAGAAGTAGTGCCTACCAAACTAGAAAAAAAACAAAAAAACTTCCAGTTTGCCGTGAATTAATTAATGCTAGGTCGCCAGGGACTGGAGCAGATGCATATGACATCATCACATATCCCATAGGATGCTGGTTTCAAGGGGGAAACTTTTGTAAAGATTATGTGTAAGCTCAAGTGGAACTTTACCCAACTAGTCACTTAGTCACTTTATCGCTTAACAGACCCCTTATATCCTTCGCCTCGGGATTTCTTGAAGTATAATACAGAATCTGACAGCTTCCAATTACACCCCTCAGCTCCCTGAAAGTGTAAATGATAGATGGACGGAAACTTTGTCAAGGTCTATGAACAAACGAGATAAGATTTGCCGGAGACACCGTCAGGTGTATCCATCACGGAGGCCCTTAAAGCCTGGCAGGCTGGATGCAGGCATTACCCGCCTCTGGAGAGCATGGGGAGACGAGTAGCTGACCATTAGCTGATTTTGCCTGCATCGGGGTTTGATCCGGTGCAGGCGTCATCGGCGGAAAATAAGGTCCTTGGGAAACATTCCCGGATGGATCACCTATATATGCCGATACCGGACAGGTGTTTCAGCTAGTGCCAGTCTATCATCATCAACGTCGGTTATGTATCAGCACAACTCTAATTTGACGCTAACGCCAATCAAACGATAACAGGCCAGAATTGGTACCTGGTATTCCACTATTGACCTGGATTGCCTTTACTCTCTAGGCTGTAACAGCGTAACTCATTGGTTTTAGATCTACGCAATACCGCGAAAGCCAAGAAAGGTAATTCCCTTTTTTTGGAATGCATAGAACCCATAATTAAATCAGTAGCGTGGAAGTTGGAATGAACAGATAACAGATGTCACTTTTTAAAATCCTCTCTCTATGTGTTGCCTCTCTTATCTGTTCTCCTGCACTGAAGCGGGCGTCCTGCCAGGGTAGAAGCTTTTCTCTCAGGACTCCACGATCAGCACTATCGAAACGCCGTATGAAAGATTTCCCTCAGATAAGGAGCACTGCTTCATAAAATCGCTATCTCTATCCCCGGATACGAACTTTGACTCGCTTGGATATAGACATCCATGCATATTCCTCTGCAGTGGAGGCTCATATGGCTTAATATATACGACCCTTATCGCTAAATTATCGGGTGACTTGAAAGTAAAAGATAGGGCTGTCGGGAGATCTACGTTCGATCGGGCAATAGCCACAAGGTTTTTAGGTGCGATCTGGAACTGTTTCTCACGTTCAGTTTCCCGGTTTGCAAACTGTACTTATACCAAGCTTGGACTGGTATAAATCTCAGAGGTCAGGAGAGATGCAAGGTAACAATGAGTGTAAGACTCTATTTTACAACGAAAACTTCCCTGCGAGTCATCTGTCTTTCGCCTCAAAAGATAATGGGAACCGCAGGGATGGCTCGCAAGATGTGCCATCATCCCTGAACTCCCACACGAATTGATGACTTAGCGTTACTTATCTGTCTACAAAAACAGGGATGCACGTCAATCTCTGTCCAACCAGTACGCAGGTTTACCTTGGGCACCTGAGATCTCAATTAATTGGTCGCTTTAAGCAGCCGAGTTTTATCCCTCAAAAGCAAGTTAAGGTTAATGCCCTCGGATAGCATGGAAGAGCGGAAAAGAATTCCGAGGGAAGAAAAGAAGCTACCGGGCTATAAGGAGCACTCCCTCATAAGATACCTTAAATAAGCTTTAACAGTGCATCCGATTTGGTGGTGTCGGCGCCTTAAAGTTGTAAACGTACATAAGTTATACGTAAAGCTTAAATGCAATGCTCCATGCTTTTTAGCCAATACGATTCACGGTCATTCACCTGACAAGAAACCATTCACCAGTCCCAGCCATATACGTTTATATTTCCAGACGCTCCAATACCAAACTCTATGAATAAGAACCGTAATTGATTGACGTCACATACACGACTAAACAGCTCAACAATTAACCGGCCAAAAGTGATTTTAGTAAGGACCTCTGCGAGACGTTACCTTCAACACCAAAACCGGTAAACCCTGTAATACCAAGGCTTCGCGGCGAGGGCTGCTTTTTCACTAGCCAACTCCTGTTTCAAGAGATCCAAATCCAAATCCCTTCTCCCGGTATCGATATCCATATCCTCCCATCTAATATACAATTTCCAATTCTTGCTCCATATTTTATGGGCGACGTAGAACCCTAAAATGACCGGCATGGCCAAGTAGGCCGCAAAGAAACCAGAAGCATTCGGCTTCTTTCCTAATGGAAACAAGGCAATCCAGAACTGAGCTGCCAAAATCAAAACGCAGATCAAGAGGCCGTAATACGAGCCCCAGACGCCACACTGGGACACGTAGGCCAATTCGGAGGTATCCCGGCCTTTCTTCTTCAAGGCATACCGGAATCTAATATGACCAAGGCAGATAGAGCCCCAGTTGACGAAACCCGAAATACCCCCAATTGCCATCAACCAGGTGAAAACCTCACCTTGTTTGGGCGAGGCAGCAAGGAAGCATAACAACCCTACGATGGACTGAAGAATAATCCCTGCTATCGGTCTACCCCTTTTATCGATGTACAGGAAAATCTTTGGCGCTAAACCAGCGGCAGACAAGGCTGCCAAAACCCTGGAGGAGGCAAAGACACAGGTATTACCAACAGACAAAACTGCCACAATAATAACCACATTCATGACGGAAGGGAGACCTTTGATTCCACCATTAACAATCGCAATTACAAACGGAGAGGCGGAGGCATCAACCGAAGAGGAGGCGAACAAATGCTTGTCGGTGTATGGGATAAGACAACCAATCAACGTCAAACTGATAATGTAGAACAAGACGATTCTCCAAAACACTTGTTTAATCGCTTTAGGGATTGCTTGTCTTGGGTTTGCGGTCTCGGCTGCAGCCAAGCCGGCCATTTCAGTCAGCCCAAAGGAAAACCCCGCCGTCACAAAGACACTGCAGACACCCTTGAACCCATTAGCAAAGGCACCTGGGTGGTACCAGTACTTTGCACCGATATAACCACCGATTGGGCCCCCACCACAAATCAAGACAATGCCCAAAATGATAAATCCAATAATGGTCATCACCTTAATCAAGGAGAAGACGAATTCTGCTTCGCCGTACCCCCTGACACCAAAGAAGTTGATAGAAACGATGAGCACGTAGAAAATCGCAATAAATCCAACAGTGTTAATTTCGGAGTTCCAGTACTTAATGGTGATGGAAGCAGCAATCAACTCCAAGGCCAAACCGTTAAAATAGCCAAAAAGGTAATTCCACGCCACTGCAAATCCCCATGATTCGTCAATAAACCGAATCGAGTAAGTGCAATAGGCACCGGATACGGGGAAAGTGACAGCCAACTCACCCACGGCCTGGATCATGGCATAGATCATCCCTCCCACAATCAACCAGGCAATGAGTACACCCCCCGGTCCACCGGTACGCAAGGCCGACCCGGACCCCACAAACAAACCAGTGCCGATGGTCCCGCCGATGGAGATCATTTGCAAGTGTCTGCTTTTCAAGGAGCGAGAGAGAGGGGAGTTCGCGGTCATGATGGCGATTTTTTCGGCGTCAGACAAGTTCGGATCAATGTCGAGGGCACTTGGTTCTTGCCTCCTGAATGAATCCTTAAACGCAGCGAACCCGGTTAATTTTGGGCCTTCATCACCGAAAACTCCCTCAGCTGAGCTTCCTAACAGTTGCACATCAACATTACCAGCACGTTTTAATTCCTTCTCCAGCATTTTTTTTAAGGAGTAGGGGAATGTGTTTTGTTGAGCGGAGATGATTTAGAAGGCATTGAAGCCGGGTTTACTACAGTTTATATCCTAATTAATAAAAAAAACTGATCGATTCAGGCGCGCGTTGCAACATCGGGTATCCCCTTGAGCTCGGATAGATAAATAAGCGAGATTGTCAGAGTTTGGGTACACACTTGCGATGTTCTATAATTCCTGCATTACACGGAATGCTTAAAAGTACAATGTGGTAGACACTTTGGTTCGTGATTATGGATCACACGGGCCCAAATTTGGTGCCACTAGATACAGTCAACATGAATACTACCTGTACCATGTTGCACACACCACCGTTATGGATTTAATCATTTTTATGAGCACCTATATGGGAATGTAAGCTAGGGGTTATACGTTGGAAGTTGCAAAATAATACCGAATAGATAGCCAGGTACAGGTCATCATAATCCAGTATGGCTAAGCCTCATGTGTATGCAGCCACATTTCCACACCCACAATTGGATTTAGAACGTTACATCTCCACACCCACAATTGCCTCTTAGAACTTTATATCCCCACGTATGGCGAATGTGATTTCCGTACTAATCTGAAATCCCGCGGGCTCCAGCGAGGATAGAAAATGGGCCCATCAGGTACTGGCGAATGCCACAAGAATTTACACTCGATAACTGATGGTTTACCTCCAGTCTATTTAACGATGCCTGCTAAAGCAAATCTGACCAACACTCTCACCACCTTTTACCTATTATACCAAGGATTTAAGTACCCGAAACCCGTGTGCCGAAGTTCAAAGCCGTGGACGTTATATACCTTTAAGCTGATTGAAAATTTTCATGTTAATCTCTGCAAAATGCATGCATAAAATAATCGGCTTAGTGTTATCACTCATAAGTCTTTCATGTTGCAATCTATCACTTCACAGTTATCTGAAACTGTAAAATACGTATTTTTCGGACAAACGACCCAAGATAGGCCATTCAGAACCGCGGAGGCGGGCGCACCCAACTAATAGCGTCGCCTGAAATACAAGATCTCTTGCGAGCTGAATTATCCAAGATATTTTCGGCCGAGCAGATTTTTTACAGGCTCCATCAAACCCAATGTGAAGGACATAAACTATTAGCACAATGAGAAAGTCTCAAAAGATTCAAACGAACTATATACAACACCTTCCAAGACTTACCATAAAAGCATTTTGCGGCCTCTCAAGTGCCAACAAACCCAGGCTTTTCCGCTTTTCGTCTAACGAGTTTCAAAACCGAAACCCTTCATACAGACCTTATATTTCTCAATCAAGGAGTCGCACTTGCCGCTTTCCTGGCCGTTGAACAACAAGCACTCGTCACGGACGGCTTTCTCATCCTTACAGACACAACATGGCTTTGGCTTGACTGGACAGGCTTCCACTGGGGTTGCAGCGACTGGCAGTTGGGTTTCAATAACTTTGGACATGTTTCTGGGGGAGTGAAGGATAGTTACTGGAGATAAACTTATAGTTAAACGATGGGTAATGTTTCTTGAAGGATAGAAACCTCGGAACCAAAGCCGCATGAATTAATCAGCAGTGAAAAATCAAACACCATCGGTCACGTGACTATTAGTACTGCGAATCCTGACCCCGACTGTGGCACTCCTACAAAAACCACCTAGGTAGTGTCATCATAAATTGGTATGACAAACTTGAAAGGGTGTATTTGTTTGATAACCCATTTTATGAAAGCCACCATCTGTCATGATGAGGTTGTTACTCTATGGAGAGACTTCGAGGTATATGTGCATAGGAAGCACAAAATACTTGTCAGATCTTAGATAATAATTCCTTTTTTATCCCGTCGCACCTCGTATAGATCTACACTTTCACCATAGAACTATTCACAATAGATACAAAGTGTTATACAGTTTTGTACATACACGTATTGACCCGGCTTGTAAAACTTTGTATTAGTATAAGCACCCCCATACCCCATTTTGATACGAGTAGGCGATCTGCTTTCCTTGGCTACTTTACGTTCAACCCAATTTTACTTTCAGCCTCCTTCACACGCCTTTCCAAGACGTAGCGCTCGTAGAAGTGGAACGTTTCGAAGAAGACTTCGATCAAAATCAACCAGATGATGATCCACTCCAAGCGGGTCCCCTTTTTCTCGTTCAACACTGCCAAAAGCGAAGTTGCTTCGTCGCTAACATAGTCCAACTTCTTGTTCAAAATAGCAATCCGCGGCAACACGTCCAATTCACGGGAAATTTCCGCATAGATCTTCTCAAGATGAGGCTCTGACCAATACAAATCCGGCGTGTCGATCAACTCGTTGTGCAAGTTGAGCTTATTTCTGATGAGAAAGATCTTGCCCATATTTTGCAAGATCTGGCGCTCCTTCAAGGTGATTTCACACTGCTCGGAAAGCGCCCGAGAGTGCTGTTTGGTGGTGGAAATGTAGTTCTCAAGGTATTGCTCAAGGAGGGCCAATCGCGTGGAGCGAGCAAGGCCAAAGGCGAAGGTGGCTTTATCGAGAAGCTTCTGGTCAGCGGTGGAACCTCTGATAACAATTAATTCACGGTTGTCGATATATGATCCTAGGTTTGCATCAGAGCTCTGAGATTCGGTGGCGGCTTCCAGGGGGATTTCCACGTAGTCTAGCTCTTCACTCTCGACCAAACCGAAGTTTTCCCTCTCACAATCCTTAATCATAGGCACAAAGTGTTCGAGAAGGTACTCTTCCGACAAGCCCCAGGCAACCACGGACCCGTTTGCTAGAACCATTACGTCAAAGTCTTTTCCCCAGGTGTAGTTTACCGGCACGTATTGCGTGTCTAAACGGTGAACTGGGACCCGGACGTGTATGGCTTCCTGGGGAATGACGATATTGGTGGTGTAGTCATCGTGGGTGAGGCCGCTGATTACTTTATGGAGATCGTAGGACTCGCAGATGGAGACGGCGGTCACGGGAAAGGTTTGGTAGTTGATATTGGCGGTGGCGCGGACGCGAGAGAAGGTATCTAGCGCCGGCTCGATTTTGGCTTTGGTTCTGCGGAGATTAAGATTTGACGATGATTTGTTGGACTTGGACTTTGTGGCGTTGGGATCGTTCTTTGCGATACAAGTGGATGTGGAGAAGCGAAAAGGAGAGAGGCTTGAGCATCTCAAGCTCCGGGAGAGCTTGAAGGGTTTCAAGAGGGATAACATAAGGCGTGCTTAAGGAAGGCGTTATAATCGACAAAATTCAAGAATAAAATGACGTAAAACTAGCTCAGGACGATAGAAAAGAGGATAAGCCTTGACTGACAAAGGGGCCATAAACGTTTTTAAAAAACAGTCGAGCCGCATTGCCTGCATCGAGATACCCGGCTACCTCGGTAGACTTCGAAGGACGCTCATACACTACTCAAAGTCTAGTTAGCATTTCAGTACCTTAACGGTGCTAATTTTAAAACAAACCAGACTAGACTCGATAATTATTACAAACCCTAATTTAATCAACTACAAGATTGGATGCTAAATATTGGACGCTATTTGATCTATATACGAGTCAGCAGGGGGCCATGGTAGCATCCCTGGCCGCATGATCACGTGTATCCTTCACGCTAGAATCCCCGTTTGCATACAAAACCCGATCCGGCGCCTTATTCCCTCGCTCCATACCCCCTCTTGCAATACAATACACATCCATAGGTATTCATGTTGCGTAAATACCGTCCGCTTTTCCGCGGCCTCTCCAGAGCCTACTCTACGGCGCCACTGGACATTGGGTTTGTCTTTGACATTGACGGGGTGTTGATTAGGGGCGGCAAGTCCTTGCCACACGCGCTTCCCGCTTTGCAACTCTTGGAAAGGCTTAAAGTGCCGTATATTTTGCTCACGAATGGTGGGGGAAAGTCGGAACTGACCCGTGTGAGAGACTTGTCGGCGCGAATCGGCACTCAGTTGCACCCGGCGCAGATTGTGCAGTCGCACACGCCGTGCAAAGCGCTCGTGAACGACCCCCAGTTCGAACGTGTGTTGGTGATTGGTGGCAGGGGGAATGAGGCCAGAGAAGTGGCTTTGCAGTACGGCTTCAAAGAGGCTTTGACTCCGATTGATGCCGTCAGAGCCAACGGCTCCATCTACCCGTTCCATTCATACACCGAGGAGCAGCTAGAGGACATTGCGATGCATCCTTCCGAGTCGCATTTGTACGGAGGTTCTGCCAAACCAATTTCCGCCATCCTTGTGTTTTCGGACCCGCGTGATTTTGGTACCGCTACCCAGATCTCTATGGACTTGCTCAACTCCGAAGAGGGCTACTTTGGCACCAAGCGAGGCAATGCACAGTTGGTGGGCAATGCCACCCCATCTATTCCCATTATCTTCTCAAACAATGACTTTCTCTGGGCGAATGAATACCCGGTGCTGCGATTCGGCCAGGGTGCGTTCCGAATCACGATGGAGGCGTTGTACAGAGAGATGAACAAGGCTGAGTTGCAGAGCACAATCTTGGGGAAGCCGTTTAAAGTCAGCTACGATTACGCCCACCACGTCTTGATTGATTGGAGCCGGCGATTGGGATCCGAAATTCAGCCAGAGACCCAGGTTCTCCCGCAGTTGAACGTGGCCCCGGTGCAGTCTCCGTTCAAAAAGGTCTACATGGTTGGGGACAACCCGGAAAGTGACATTTTGGGGGCAAACAACTACGGCTGGGAGAGTTTGTTGTTGCGCACGGGGGTGTTCAGAGACGAAGACTGGGATAGTATCGTCGCCAAGCCAACGGGTGGAGTCTTTGATCATGTAGAGGAAGCCGTGAGGTTTGCGTTAACCAAAAATAGGTTGTTGTAAGCCCGAAGCTCACTCTGGGTGTCTTTGAAGGGCCTGCTGTAGAAGTTTGGCCATGTAATTTGGAAGGATGACGAATATTTATCAATAAAAAGTATTAGACGATTTTTCTACAGACTATGGATTAAAGATTTATGGCTTTTGAGCTCAACAATGAAATCCATCGAAGCTAGAAGCAAGATGCGAGAATAAACCATACAACTGGGATTCCAATGCCGTAAACTTTATGTCCAGTCGAGGCCAGGGACGGCTAGCCCACCAGTACCACCCTGCCTTCAGCTGAAGACGCGTCATAGTGCGCAACCACTCCCAACAAGTTATTTCTCCAAAAGTCAGACCTTCCACCCATTTTTCAAAGGACAGAATGTTTAATAAACGCTAAATACAAAATATTTCTAGATATTTTAGCAAAAGCCCTAATAAATGGAACAATTATCAACGAGATACTAATTCAATCGCAGTCATGGTTTTGGCCCTTGTGCCTCACCGCCTGCGGCGCTGGGACATTTTTCGCGACGCTGCTTACATAATTTTTTCTTCATTTTTTCGCCGCGCAAAAGACTCGACTACGTTTAAGAAGTCGTTTTGCGAGCTCCCATCAGTTATAGTCCCACCCAGCAAGTCATTATGAGCACCGCTAACTGCAGATTCTACGAAAACAAGTTCCCAGAGGTGGACGATGTTGTGATGGTCAACGTCCAACAGATTGCTGAGATGGGGGCGTATGTCAAGTTGTTGGAGTACGAGAACATCGAGGGGATGGTCTTGCTTTCCGAGTTATCCAGACGTCGTATCCGTTCGATCCAGAAGTTGATCCGTGTGGGCAAAAACGAGGTTGTGGTTGTCTTGAGAGTCGACAAGGAGAAGGGGTACATTGATTTGTCCAAGAGAAGAGTCTCCTCCGAAGACGTCGCTAAGTGTGAGGAAAGATACACCAAGAGCAAGGCCGTGCACTCCATCTTGAGACACTGTGCCGAGAAATTCAATCTCCCGTTGGAAGGCTTGTATAAAACTGTCGGCTGGCCGTTGTCTCGTAAATTTGGACATGCCTACGACGCCTTCAAGGTGTCCATCACCGACCCAACCATTTTCAACGATGTCACTCCACCGAACGAAGAGGTGCTTGCCGAATTGAAGATGTACATTTCCAGAAGATTGACCCCACAGGCCATCAAGATCCGCGCCGATGTCGAGGTTTCTTGTTTCGGCTACGAGGGTATCGATGCCATCAAGGCCGCGTTATACGACGCTGAGGCCTTGTCCACCGAGCAGATGCAGATCAAGGTCAAGTTGGTTGCCGCGCCGTTGTACGTCGTGACCACCCAGGCCTTAGACAAGCAGCAGGGGATCGAGTTGATAGAGCAGGCGATCGAGAAGATTAAGGAGCAGATTACCGTTTCTGGTGGTGTCTGCAACGTCACCATGGCTCCGAAGGCGGTTACTGCCACCGAGGACGCCGAATTACAGGCCTTGATGGAGCGCAAGGAGATGGAGGGGAAGCAGAACTCGGACTCCGAGTCTGACTCCGAGGAGGAATAAGGGGCTCATGTATTCAGTATTTATGTCATTGCTTGAAGAAAACCTTGGGATAGCGGGGTTTGTAGGCGTATATCTGTACAGAAGGCTGTGCCAAAGCCACCTCGGGAAGATTACATATAGGCGATTCATATTTTTTTCGAAATTGGCTGCGCTATATCGATAAACTACCTGCTTTTAAACTTCTGCCCGGAATGTCAAGTCAGATTTGGGTATAACAGAGAAGCGTGGTCAAGCAAACAAGATACTGAGCGTGCTTTAATCGTCAATTTCGAAATCCCAAACTCATAGATAATATACCAGTTTGTGTAATCGCTAAAATTGCATCAATATATCATTAAGGTGTTTCCCGATTTCATTGTCTAGTCAATCCCTCAGCTGCACTAAAATATGACAATCGACTTGATGCAGGCTGAGATATGAAACATTTCATGGACGCTGCTGTGCTATATCCCCCAGTCGGTTCACATAGATTATCCGGATAAGATTCAGGGACTATGCTCAAATTCTTGCTTCCCCCACGGACACCCAGAGCCTTCATCAAAGGCGTTTACGCCGATCTTTTCCAGTACTACGCCATGAGGCTAAGGAACTTTACGCCCAAGCACTACCTGTGCAAGTTCTTCACTATGAGTTATCTCCCACCAGACCACTACCTCTCGCACTTCCGCAAAACCTCGCCTGCTTTCCACGTCCAGCACTACACGGGCTACGATGCTAACGATGCTGGGTTTTCCCAGAGCAAGAACTTCTACACCAAGTCGTTGGTGCCGCGCAGCTACGCGGTCTACCGGTTGTATTCCCGGAGAAACCTTCGGGACTGCTTGCAAGCAGCGATTGAGAAAAAAATAGAGGGCAGGGACGATTCAAAAATGGAAGCATTGAAGAATGGGGTGTATTGTTTCACCGTGGACATCATGGCGCGACCAAACGAGATGGCAGAGCTTCAGACAGAGATCGACAAGGCAGTGCAAACAGTTTACGCTTTGACACCTGACAGTTTTGGCTGGGTGAGTAAGGCAAACGCGAGGGTAAAGCCCCAGGAGGTGAGGCGTTTGGCGAGCCAGAATCCAAAGTTGAGAGATATTGTGATACCGCCGTTCGGAGAAGGAACGGAGAGAGAAAAGAGAGAGTGGAACGAGAGAAAGAAAGGGAATCAAGGAAAGGAGAGAAGAGGTAAGAGAGAGGCGAAAGTGGGTATGAGGGATGGACAGAAGGAGGACAAGAAGCCAAATATGCAACGCGTCAAGGTGAATCTTAAGGACCTACAGAAGTTAATATAAATAGTGTATCGTCTATTCCAAGGCTATAAGGGGCCCCGAAGATTCAAAACTACATATTAGGAAGGCGTGGGACCGCACCGATATGATCTGAAACAGACAACTACCAATGTACGTTTCTATGCTCCCATACACCTCTAGCCGCTTTCTTCTTTTCCCCTGGTGTTTCGTTCGACAACCATTAGCTGTTTACTAGTGCTTTAGTATTTTCCAAGGATTTTTGGAGTCTGTCGCGTGACTTCACAATCTAAAGCTAAAGCTATACACAAGCCTACTCAACCAAGTGTATACTCTTTGAGTGACTGATATGGTTGTTGAGTTTACAAAGAGTTCTCAAGGTTTATAGAGCCTCTTGTGTGTGGTAACAGAATCGTGATTCCGCTAACCCAGATTCTTTCATAATAATCTAGAATCCTAGCTTTTAGCAACTTCATAAAACGGTAAAATTCGAGTCCGGATAATAACAAACATTGTAGATACTCAGTCCTAAGGATTCTAATATATGTGGATAATCCCGCCGGTTCTTATGGTATAGATATTAAAAGGTGTACCAGATATCTTGGCATGAAATCTCCCAGACTTGGGTCGTGCGCCTCCGGTCCCAATCGGGACGTCGCTTTCCGTGTGCCTTAACATTCCCTGCATTTGGTGAAAAATGTCCATACTCAGTGAAAAAAAACGCTAACATAAAAGCAGAGTGTGATCTTGAAGTCCAAAATACCCCTCCGTTACCACCCACACACTGTACAATGTTGAGAAAATCTGCTGAAAAGCTCATCAAGTCGCTTCCTACGCTTGCGGAAACCCCAAACAAATACAACAAGGTCCGTTCTGCGTGGAACTTGAAGCCAAACTTGCCTCAAGGTTTGTACCACCACCCAGCGCCATCTGCCAAGTCGCCGTTGTATGAAACGCCAAACGCCTTCCTCCCGGAATCAGACCCAAGGAAGAATTTGCCACACATTTTGAAGTCGTATGAGTTCTCACAGGAAGCCTTGAGCAACATGCCGCTTCTCCAGGACGATGTTGCTTCCCGTCCCCAGTATCACTTGACCGCCGAGCATGTTGCTGAGATCCAATCCTTGAGAGCCCAGGACCCAGAAGCCTGGTCCTTCACCAAGTTGGCCAAGAAGTTCGACACCACCGTTTATTTCATCAGAATTGCCATCGCCAATATGGACAAGAGCTTGGGTAGGCAGAAGGCTGCCGCGCCTGTGACTGCCGACTCTGAAAAGACCAAGTATGAGTTGAAGAGAGAGTTGATTAACCATCACAGAAAACTCAGACGCGAAGCGTGGTTGAGAGATGAATAAATGTCTCGGGACATTTGAGAGGGCGTGTCCTCCGTGTATAATTATGTTAAGCCACCGTTTACGTGGAGTGTATATAGTAATGTGATTTCAAAGCATAGGAAGTTGTATAGTGAGATTTATTGAGAATCAGGGAAGGATACTAACGTTTGTGCGATAATTCCTGGGGCAAGCTTTACGAAAGCTGTTGGTCTATGGGGTATAGAGGCAAGGGGAAATCGGTAATTTACGAAACAAAGGGTTGAGTCTGGTTTTTGGTCTATTGGGGTCGTCGGTATTCGAGTCTAAAAGTATAGATCCAAGCCAGGTCTGACGTTAGGAGGGATTATGGTATCACTGGCGACTTCCGCACTGGTCTCGAAGCTTAATCCTTTTTTTTAAAAAAATTTAGTCTCTCTGTATGCAATACCTCGCAGCTTTTGGTCAAAGTTATGGCCCTACGGAGCAGATGTAAAATCGGTGACGTTCAACCAAACTGTAAAGTTTCCGATATTAGATGTTCAATATGCTATCAATATCATGACAGATAACTACCCTGCTGAATTAACTAGATTAAAAAACTTAAGCTTGGTGGCGATTTCTAGATTGATATGGAAAAAGCATTAATGTTCTATGCTAAAATACATGAACCCTTTGTGCGTATCATACCTCCGTCATGTTGGGATGCCAAGACGTTGTTACGAAGGCAACGTACCAAAAAATCAGCAGGACCGACCGGAATGACTCAATATACCTTTCACCTCAGTGACCCTATGAGGTTTTGGTCAAATAGGAGTTGACGCACATGGTGGTGGTGTGAGGACATCAGGCCCTGGTCCAGCACGGAGGCATACCATTTCCCCGCAATTTCGGTCAAAGGCTCAGACCAAGACGTGATCACAATCCTAAGTAGTTACTATACAAGCTTTTTCACAATTGTAACCCCGCTCAATGTTACACAGGAATAGCCTTTGATAGGGTAGTTTCAGGGGCTTCTAATTAGTATGCATACTGGGGACAGTCCCAATTTTAGGCCATTTCCATTGTAGTTTATGGTACAAGCTTCTGAGCCCCAGCGATTGTCAGTCTGAATTTTTCAGCACAGATCTCCACGGTGGATAAGCAGTGATGCCTAATTGCCAAGATATTAATAGGCCCCTCCTTGGTTGAGTAAAAAGCATAAACCACCTAATACTGGCATCAACCACCTATATCATTAAATCTGGGACTTCTAAGCGTTCGAAGTTTTATTCGTACTATACTAAACATCCAGCCTAGTGCTGTGACCTCATGCGAAAGTGCGGGTTAATTTTTTAGCGGTGCGTCGTCTACAAGCCTGACGAACGCTAAACGCCCGGCAGCAAACATGACTTTCCCCGCCAAAACTTTGCTCCGAGTGGTGATTAATCGAACACGATATTGCATCCCGGATCAATCAGCAACATAGCTAGGTCATTTTGTGCGTCTGTATTTATGAGATATTTGCATCCTCTCAGCTTTAGAGACCGGGTAGTATTTCGTGTCGTCTTGCCTACGTATAATTATCATCTCACTGGCTCAAAAACCTGTGGGCCCTTTAGAATTTTCCCCTTCCGTCCTAAAAAATCATTATCTAGAGAATGCTGCGCTGCTCTAAACCCCATCAGTGCGCATTTCAATATGATCAACCAAATCTCCATAAAACGCGTACAATTCCATCGCAGAATAAAATCGTTATACTCAAAGATAAACCGCTATAATGCACTATCTTAATAAACCCCTGTTTCTGGGCTTGACCGGCGGTATACAACCCGAATCTCACGGCGCAGATTCTGTCACCCCACTAAAAGAGTCCTGCACAGTGGCTTCCCGGAGTTTTCGTGAGCCCCATGCCCCGCAAATTTTCGGCCCCCTTCTATAAATACCCCTCCCCTAACTCAATTGCTTTTTCAAATCACCCACACTCATTGCCGCTCACACCACCACAATGTCCATTAAAATCATCCCCACCACCGCCTTCTTGGACCAGAAGCCTGGCACGTCCGGGCTTCGCAAGAAGGTTACCGTGTTCCAGCAGCCACACTATACCGAGAACTTCATCCAGGCCATCCTCGAGTGCATCCCTGAGGGGGTGCATGGCGCCACTCTCGTGGTCGGAGGCGACGGCCGCTACTACAACGACAAGGTTGTGCAGTTGATTGCCGAAATCGGTGCGGCCAATGGCGTCCGCAAGCTCATCATTGGGCAGCACGGGATTCTTTCGACACCAGCGACGTCGCACGTGATCCGCACACACGCTCCAGGAATCACCGGGGGGATTATCCTCACGGCCCTGCACAACCCCGGTGGCCCGCAGAACGATCTCGGGATCAAGTACAACCTCGCGAACGGGGGACCCGCACCGGAATCCGTCACCGACAAGATGTATGCCGCGTCGCGCGCGCTCACCTCCTACAAGCGTGTTGACTTGCCGCTCGTGGACCTTGCGACCCTTGGCACCCGGGCCTACGGTGCGTTGGAGGTCGAGATCATCGATTCCACCGCCGCGTACACCGCGATGTTGAAGGAAATTTTCGACTTCAAATTGATCAAGGAGTTTATTGCCAAGCGCTCGCCGGAGGGCTTTGAGATGTTGTTTGATGCGCTCAACGGGGTCACCGGGCCATATGGTCGCGCGGTGTTCGTGGATGAGCTCGGCCTCCCGGAGCTGGCGATCCAGAACTGTGTCCCGCTTCCGGACTTTGGCGGGTTGCACCCGGACCCCAACCTTGTGTATGCCAAGACCTTGGTGGACCAGGTTGATGCGAGAAAAATCGCGTTTGGCGCCGCTTCCGACGGTGACGGTGACAGAAACATGATTTACGGGTACGGCGCGTTTGTGTCTCCGGGGGATTCTGTTGCTATCATTGCGGAGCACGCAGACGCGATTCCCTACTTTCGTAAGACCGGCACGCGCGGTCTCGCGCGCTCTATGCCAACATCCGGTGCGCTCGACCGCGTCGCACGCGCGCAGGGGGTCGAGTGCTACGAGGTGCCGACCGGCTGGAAGTTCTTCTGTGCATTGTTTGACGCCAAGAAGTTGTCCATCTGTGGTGAGGAGAGTTTCGGTACCGGAAGTGACCATATCAGAGAGAAGGATGGCTTATGGGCGATCGTCGCGTGGTTGAACGTGCTTGCGGCGTACGACGCAAAGACCCCAAACTTGCCTAAGGGCGGCGCCACCATCAAAATCGTCCAGGAGGCGTTCTGGAAGAAGTATGGCAGAACGTTCTTCACTCGGTACGACTACGAGGGCGTTAATTCCGACGGTGCTAATGAAGTTATCGCTCGGTTGGAACGCAAAATCGCGTCTGCCGATTTTGTGGGCTCCGAGATCTCTGGTGTCAAGGTTACCGAGGCTGGGAACTTTTCGTACACCGACTTGGACGGCTCCGTGTCTGCCAAGCAGGGCTTGTACGTGAAGTTGGCCAACGGTGGCAGATTTGTGATCCGTCTCTCCGGTACCGGTTCCCTGGGCGCCACTGCCAGGTTGTATGTTGAGAGACACTCGGGCAACGAGAAGGACTATGTCTTGGACACCCAAGACTTCTTGAAGGGTGATGTGAAGGCTGTAGTTGAGTTTCTCCAGTTCAAGCAGTTGCTTGGGAGGGACGAACCGGATGTGAGAACGTAGGTTTCATTTGTGTGTATTTTGCATGTGACTATTTCCAGGTTATTTTGTAGATGTGAGGTGAGTCCGAGGGAAGGCTAGACAGGGTATCTCATCAAACTTATGGCCCACCCATTACTGATACTGAATCATGTACTGAAGTTATCCAATTATCTGTGTCTGGAGTTACCTAATGATTTGTGTTTGGTATGTATCGAGAGTTAACAACCGGAGGACTTGTAACCTATTCCCCTGTGTATAGACAGATTCTACTTCCACCTTTGCTATTTTACTTATAAGCATCCTCTTACCCCTTGAACAGCCATTAAGTGATATTACAAACATTCCTCCAAGCTGGAAAAGCAAAGGAAAACTCTGGATTTGATTTCAAGACTTTGTGGTAAGAAGAAAGTCAGCCCATGTTTCAAATTTCAAAAACAAATAATTTAGTTGATATATATTACATCAATTTATCTCCTGACCTCTTTGCTTTATGAGTAAGCGCCAGTGGTTTAGTGGTAAAATCCAACGTTGCCATCGTTGGGCCCCCGGTTCGATTCCGGGCTGGCGCATTATAATGGAATCCTTCAAGGAAGCAATCTCTCTGATGAGCAAACTTGGTCCGTGTTTTAGAGGAGATTTAAGACCCTCCAGATGACTGACGAAACAAGGGAGATTAAGACCTCCATCTCTGAGGATTGCAAGCATTATTTTTTTTCTCCTAATTTATATCTTAGGTAGAGCTACCTACAAGGGATGAGGGAATTCATTTTAAAGAAAAGATCCTTGCATATTAAAAAAAAGATAGAATACCTTGAATAAGAGGGAATAAATGTCGTCAATTTGAAAGACCAAGGGCTGACTTTTAACAATGCTAGCCTTTGCAGCTTAAACTTGGTAGTCTGTAGTTTGAAAACTTTCGTGCCAGCGGTAACCTCTCGCCAGGAAAAAAAACCCGAATCCTAGAAAATTAAATAAACCTCAGTCTAATAAAAGGGACTGGAAGCAATTGGATAGCCCTTTTCGGAAATTTTTCAACCGCTTTGAAACAGTAAACCTCCATTCGTAAAAGTAAAAGGGTATTGAATCCTGCACGCATCCCGTACCACGACTCACGCCGTTCTGTTACCAGCTCTAGCCATGTCTAGCTATTTTGCTTCAGCTAAATCCTTAACCTGTGTTCTTACTTTCACCAATACTGCCTCCAGAATCCCAAAGTTCCTACCCGATGCTTGGTGGTCGCCGACCTATGAACCGCCAGAACTGAAAACTCCTGCACGCTGCTCACCGCCGCACGCTGAAAAATTACGGAGGCCTTAAAGACATTAACGAGAGGAGGTACACTATTGATTACCTCCCCATTTCCCTAAATCCACCACATCCATGGAAAGCTTGTACCGAACGGCCCGAATAGGCTGCAGATACACGTCTTTATTCTACCATGCCATACATCACCCGTTGTACGCTACACCCTCTCGGTTGTATGCCACCACAACCCATCCCCGGAAGGGCAAGCCCAACCGACGCTCTAAACCAGAACCAAAGGGGATTAAGACTCCAGCGACCGAGGAATACGATACCGCAATGTTCCAACAGGTGGTTGAAATGACCGAGGCGCAGATTATTGAGGACTCGACCGGGGTGCGAGAGATTCTCCGCACTTTTACCCGGCTCCACAGTCCTGTGGTAGTGCGAAAGCTCACGGCGGCGATAGACACCCAGTTTGCGGCGGACCCGTTGAAAAAGTCATTGTTCCGTTACATGATCTCAACCAGCGCCCAGATGGATAACCAATGGATCGAAAAGTGCATCATACATCTCCTCGACATTCAGCTTCCGGCAACCCCGAAGAAGCTGGCGGTGACCCTGCAAAAAATGGACATTATTTTTAACTATTGGGACAAGCTCCGTGAATGCAGCGACGAGGTGAAGCCATTGCGGTTGTCACTGGAAACGTGGACACGGTTGATTACGATCCTACCGCGCGATTACTATTCGTCGTTCTGGCTCAAACTCAACGCGTTGAACTTTCTCAGCGATCACGCGTTGGACCCGGTAAAGACTGCATTGCGTAAAGGCAGCAATATCGAAAAGATCATCTTCGAGACGTGTGTGTTTGTTCCACAAGGAGACACACGGGCGTACAACTCCGAGTGCTGGAAGCAGTTGACCGAGCCGGAGCAGCAAAAGCTAGTGACAAACTATTCCTACCAAGACTTTCGGTTCATGATCAGGCGGAGCATTGGAGATGGGGAGTTTGTCAAGGCGGCGTTCTACCTCAGCTTGTACTCGGCAAAAGTGGAAAAGTACATTGGGCGGAAAATTGGCAGTGCGAGTGCGGATAAACGTGCAGAACTACTCAAACACCACGAACACCACGCGGCGGAGATGTACAATTTGCTTATCTACCAGAAAATGTCCAGCGGCGAGACCCAGGACTTGACCCAGTTGTTTGAGCAGTTGCTCGCGGCGTCCACTGCTGTCCACAGCTTGGGATTCATCCCCACGATGCTTACGGTGTTCCGCAAGCAGCACAACTTTGAGGAATTTTTAAAGCTCTTGAGCGGGTTAGACTTGTCGTATCGCGGTAGCGCTGATCCAGCGGAGTTGAAGCGGTTTTTGGACACAAAGTCGCGCATTCTCGATGCACTTTTCTATGCCCTCAGAGACGAATACAAGGTGCATCCGAAGGTGTTGGTGGGCTACGCGCTAGCGATCTATGACGATGCCTTCCGGGTATTGGACTCACTCGGGCTCTTGTCCTGGTGCTATGAGGGCAACCGATCCCGTTGGTTGAAACTCTCTGATTTGAGTTTGGTCAAGCGGGCTGATATCAAAGAGGAGTTGCGCATGAAACACATTTCGCTGGACGCCTTGTACAGCGTCTACTGCGGCATTATCACGGAGATGGACAGTGAGTTTATCGAAATGGAAAAGTACACCAACTTCAAGCGCTTTTTGCGGCTCACCCCGGCGCTGAAGCGGCGCGAGCGAACCGTCAGACTCGAGCAGTTGTATGACAATTTCATGGCCTGTTTGGTGAGACAGAACGAGGATAGTCCCCCCTCACTTGCGATTTCCCGCCTTCTGGACCACTTTATCTGCATGTTTATGAGGGAAATCGTGGGGAACAACCACTTTATTCCTGGCAACGACGATATCAAGGCGGCGGAGCGAGTCTTAGAGGACTATATTGCAACCCTTGAAGCCCACGGTCAGAGGCTCCAGACATCAGTTCCTATCGACTACTTGGTCTATGCGTACACCATCACAAAGAACGACTTGGCCAGCGGGTTTCGTTGGGCTCGTTACTCCATGGAGGTGCTCCAGCTACCGTTGTCGCTCCGCACGTTAAAAGCGTTTGTCATTACCTTGTATGAAGAGCGGAACTACAAGGATGCGCACAAGTGGTTCAGCAAGATCTGCGAGTACGGCTACGTGATACGGAACCCCAATTTGGTGCGCATTGCGCGCGAGTTGGGCTGGCAAATGAATCTGGCGCCTGAGAGGAAGCCCGTCTCGGGACTGTTCCGGCGGTTGTCCCAGCAGGGGTATTTCGAGCGCGTGGGGAAGGCGGCGACGAAGCCAAAGCCTGAGGATAGTATTAATGGGAAGAAGGAGTAAAGTAACCGTATTGCTAGTAACCAAAGTGTCTATCGTAATGGGTTATATACCAAAGTTTAAGGCTCTTCGACAGCTTACATCTCTAATTATAATTAATGTATGACGTGAAAATATTCCCCCCTACAAGTGTAGTATATCTAGTAGGTGATAGCGGGTACAATAAGTCGTGAGAGATTATCGCTAGTTGCTGTATACCAAAAGGAGCGCAATAAGTTGCTTATAAGTTGCTTATATGTCCAATATTCAATCGCCTTCCACTCCTAGTTAGTCTCTTGCATGATCGTTCTCATCGCGACACTACCAGAAATCCGTGATACTGCCTGTGTTGCATCTGCAGCTGGATACTGAACTCCGTCATCCAAACGTTCAGCACCAGCCTTTCCGTAACCACCGCCACCCGGAGTACACACAACAACATGATCACCCGGTTTCATCATCACACTGTTTTTGCCCCCCAAGTAGATCTTTCTGTAGCTCCCATCTGCATTCTTCTTTAACCAAAAGTTAGAGCCTCTCTCACCGTCTTCGCCGCCCGCCATCCCAAACGGCGCCAAGGCTCTTCTTTCCATCAAACAGGACACCTGGAGCGGGATAGTAAACTCGATGTCTCTGATCACACCGTCACCGCCGGTGTGGAAACCCTTACCGCCCGAGCCCTGTCTGATCTCAAATCGTCTCAAAATAACCGGATATCTCTTTTCAAACACCTCGGGATCGGTAATCTTGGTGTTAGTGGTGTGGCACTGCACTGCAGATTGGCCATTCCAGGTAGCAGAAGCACCGGCACCGCCACAGATTGTCTCATAATAACCAAACCCGTGGCCAGTGGAATTTTCGGCCCCAAAGGTCAAGTTGTTGCACGTGCCCTGGGACGCAGCACAGGCCTGGAAAGCCTTAAGAATCACATCCACGCACCTCTGGGCGGTTTCGACATTACCACCAACGGTAGCAGCCTCGGCAGATGGCTGCAACACCGAGCCCTGTCTTGTCCTCACGTCAATCGGAATTAAGCAACCATGGTTGAGAGGAATATCACCCGAAATGAGGGCTCGGAGCACATACAACACAGCGGAGAATAAGATCGCCTTGGGAGCGTTTAGGTTACCGTAAATTTGGTCACCCGACTTGGTGAAATCAAACACAGCACTGCCTGTTTCCTGGTCAATCTCGATCTCGAGCACAATCGGGGTGCCGTCATCGAGGTAATCCACCGCTTTCATGGTTTCACCACCAAATTTTTGGTACGCCATCCTGAGCAAGTTTCTCACAGACAACTCAGCTGTATGAAGAATTGCCTCCATGTAGAGCTGAATCACCGGGTAGGAGAAATCATCCACCAACTTATGGAGAAGCTGAATCCCCTTGAAGTTCGCCGCCACCTGGGCCTTCAAGTCGGAAATGTTGTCACTCAAGGTCCTGGTACCGGAACAGCCTTCATACTGCGCCGGGTCGATCAAAAGACGTTTGGTTATACCTTCTTCATCAAATACACCCTCATCGCAGAGCTTGTGGGTGATGATGGCAGCCCCTTCCTGGAAGATCTCCTTGGAGTCCGGAGGCATCGATCCAGCAGCAATACCACCAACGTCGGCATGGTGGCCTCTGGAGGCGGTCCAGAACAACACGTTGCAGTCATCATCCAACACCGGGGTGATGACGGTGATATCAGGCAAGTGCGAACCACCCGCGACCGGGTGGTTGGACACAAACACGTCTCCATGCTTGATCTTCCCCTCCCATCTCTGAGCCTGTTCCTTCACCGCATAAGACATGGCACCCAAATGGATTGGAACGTGAGGCGCGTTAGCAACCAAGTCACCATTACGATCGAACAAGGCACACGAGAAGTCGAGTCTCTCCTTGATGTTTGTGGAAATTGCGGTTTTCTGGAGGGTGCGGCCCATCTGCTCGGCAATGGACATGAACCGGTGGCCAAATACGGAAAGCTGGACGGGGTCAACCACCACACGGGAGATATCCTTCTTGGCCTCCTTTTCAACTGTCACAAGCACGTGTTCCTTGAGAATATTGGCGGTGGAGTGTGGCTCTATGAGGATGGTCTGGGTTGCATCGAGGATAACCGCCGGACCGGAAAGCTGGGATCCAACTGCCAACTCACTTAACTGGTAGACTGGAGAGTCTAACCAGCCTACGCTTTCGAAGTACACACTCGACTGGGATGTAGAAATCTCAGCGGTCGTAGAGACGATATCAGCAAACTCCCTAAATGGATTCACCGTCTCCTTGGCAGTCGAATGGACAATTAATCTGACCCTGATGTCATCCACCAAAACTTTTCTCTCCAAGGTAAAGCCAAACTCCTGGTTATGTCTCGCAATAAACTCCTTGTCGGTGTTGTTTCCGTCTAGCTTCATCATGAGATGAGTGTCGGAGCCCACGTACTTCATGTTCAAAAACACCTCCATCTCGGTGGAGAACTGGGTGAGGCCTTGCTTCTGGTAGTCCTCCATGCACTGGGCCTTCAAGCGAGCGATAGTAGTGTCAATCGAGACAAAGGAAGGTGCCTCATACGCCACGGAGATTGGCTGCTGCCTCTCAATTACAATGTCCGCCAACGCCATACCGTAGGCGGACAACAACGAAGAGTACTTGTGGATCACGACGTTTTCAATGCCCAAGTTCTTGGCCACACTGACGGCACACTGTCCACCAGCCCCACCAAACGACGACAAATTGTGGTCCGCCGTGGCAAACCCCTTGGACTCGGTCAAGGTTCTAATAGGACGGCACATGGTTTCGATCGCAACCTTCAAGAACCCACATGCCACCTCCTCCGGGGTCAAGTGCTTCTCGTGGTCCTTGTTGATCGTCTCGGTCAACTCCAAGAATAACTTCCTGGTGGCGTTGATATCCAAAGGTTCGTTTTCGTTAGGGCCAAAGATGTTGGGAAAGTGCTCCGGAAGAAGTCTGCCCAAGAACAAGTTAGCATCTGTGACGGTGAGCGGACCTCCCTTTTTGTAGCAGGCAGGACCGGGATGGGCACCAGCTGACTCAGGGCCCACAACAAACATCCCGTTGCGCCAAAAGAGCATGGAGCCACCGCCAGCGGCAACCGTGGAGATGTCGAGCTGCGGCGTCTGCAACGACACCTCAGAGATTACGGTCTCGAAAATGTGTTCCGGAGCACCAAATACACGGGAAACATCAGTAGAGGTACCCCCCATGTCGAAACCAATAGTTGCCTTAAGGTTCCCTGGGCGGTCGTCGAAACAGGTTTCGGCGTAGCCTACCATCCCACCGGCCGGGCCAGAGAGGATGGCACGAAGCCCTGAAAACGCGTTCCAGGGACATAAGCCCCCGTTAGACTGCATAAAGAGAAGTTTGTTGCCGAGGGCCATGAGGCCACCTTCGAATCCCGCGCCAAACGACTGCATGTACTCCTGGAGAATCGGACCGAGATACGCGTCGGCGACGGTGGAGGAGGTACGCGACACCATGGAGATCATAGGCTGCAAGTCCACAGACACAGATACCTGGAAACCCATCTGACGGGCCAAAGCCGCGATCGCCTGTTCGTGTGCTGGATAGGCATAAGAGTGGAGAAGGCACAATGCAAGGGAGCGGAACCCCTGGGCGTGCAATTCAGATAACTGCTGGGAGACAATGGCCATGTCTGGGGCCTGGAGGATTCTGATGACATCACCAGTGATACCTGTGACCAAGCTGGCGTCGGAGGTGATGTCAACCGGAGGCTTTTCTCCACCTTCGGTGTACGACTCAATGGTTACTCTCTCGTCGATTTCAACCACACGCTTGTATAACTGCTTGAGCTTTCGGGCTGAGAGGTCGAAAATATTTGGTCTGGCCTGGGTGCCGATCTTCAAAATGTCAGCAAACCCCTTGGTTGTGAGTAATGCGACATCCGCGCCCTTTCTTTCGAGTAGCGCATTGGTCGCGACGGTGGTGCCCATTCTGATCGATTCTACCAACAGGAGCGAGAGTTTCTGTGTCTTGGGAATGTCGGTACCGGTGGCATGTTCTAGTACTCTCCTGATCCCCTCGGTGGGGGCATCCTGATAGTTGGAAGGGTCCACCGACAAGAGCTTGAAGGTATATTCCTCGTTGAGCAGTGGGATGACGGCGTGGACGTCGCAAAAGGTTCCGCCTCTATCAATAGAGATTTTGATTCCGGACATTGGGTGGGGGCGGTATAGATAATATTGTAGTGGTTATTGTTATGGTGTAATTGAACGTAGCAAGGAGACTAGGGATAAAGCAACTTTATAGTAAATCTGGGACGTGCGCAAGATGGATGGCGTTTAATCATTAGGAAATCTGAGTGCCCTGGGGAAGTACATATTTTCGGGGAGCCATTCCGACGGTTAGCCAACGCGTTAGAGAGAGCCACACTTTCGTGTCGTATATCCGTAGAGGCAACATCGCGATTATATTGCTCAAACAGGGGGGTGCTTTTGGATAGTGAAATAATTGTTCAAATATTACAGGTTTATAGCAGAGATGATTCTAGGGTGCTGGATAGACTGTTTTCTTAAGGTTTGTAAGCGATCATGGGTGGTCATGTTTGTAAGATTTACATCCATGTATGACTCAGATTAATTTACAGCTGACACTGATGAAGTGGCCTATTCTAGTCGATAAATTAATTGGTATATTAGGGGGTAGATAAATGACTGGACTGTAACGGGCTATCAAAACTAATAGGTGTAAGGCGGTGTTGGTGAATCGCCCCCATGAATAACGCCAAGAGGTTACAGGCTGACACTCGTAGTAAATCTACAAGATGCAATTACAGCAATCTTTTATGGCCGAAGGATTTTACGTTGAGAGTGCCTATCGGGTAATACCAGCCGGTAGCTATGTGCATGAAGCCCCGTTGGTTTCAGGGCTCTAGTATTAATCTAGAGATGTAGTTGAGCAGATTCTCAGATCAAAAGCAATGGTTATCGGAACCACCGCTCCGTGCAAAACTTGATTCTCCATGTAGCACATTGCGTCATCAATTCTGGAATAATGTCGATTAATAAGCAAGGAAAGTTGGTCACTCACAATATCGGATGAGCTGTTTCAGAATTAACCTCAGTCACATCATCATCACCAATTAGTCACTTGAAGGTAGAAGGTTGGCCATTTTTTGACCTGAGACAACCCCCATCGTAAAGTGCATAATCATTCCCTGGAAAGGGCTCAATAAAACCAACACAAGGCATTACTCTTTGGCTACTGGTGTATCTAGGCATATAAGCACTGGTTCTTAAATGGAGATAGGTAGTTTCCATGGTCCAGACCAGCCCTTATGAACTATTAAACCTTTATCAGATAATACTTCGAGAGCCGTGGTGTCTAACAAATAGCATCCCATGCCAACTACACTCAACATCTAAATCATTATTACGTTTCTACCTCACCACTTCTTCGCAACCATGCCGTCTGGAGGCTGTGTCTTGATGGTTTCCTTGCTCACCTCCTCCCAGTTGGTGGAGAGCGCGGTCCCATTGCTCTCAATGTACGACTTCATCATGGCTCTCCGCGTTTCCTCACTGGCGTCTTTGTACAAGGTCTTGAAAAAATCCTCGCCTCCATCCTTCGCATCTTCTTCATCTACCTGGAAGGACGCCCAGTTCGTACCCTTCTTGGAGGAGGTGGGGTAGTGTGTTGCCACATTCACATCGGTGACAAGCTGCGCCGCGGCCACGTCTGCATCAGCCTCCAAGGTTGTCCACTTCACCGGCTCGTTTTTCACAAGCACAAGCTCCAACTTGGTTCCAAAGACCTTGTACGTGGATTTTTCCGGATTTATACTGCTAAACAACGGGTCAAGCTCGTAGGCGTACTCCGATGACGAGGTGGTGGGGAAGTTGACCGAAAGCGAGCGAGCGGCCATGGTCACCCTCAACGCATCCTTGTCAATGTTTTTCGCAAAGATGGTTAAGGTAACAGAAGACGTTGATTGGTACCAGTCGATCTTAATCTTTTCCTTAACTGGCGCAAGTCTGTTCATCGCCTCAACCGATGCGTTCGGGGCCTCTGCAGTCTTAATAGCTTTAGCGACATCCTCCACTCTCCCATCAAACTTCACTGATTTCCCCTCACTTAATCCCTTTTCTGCCTTCAATTTCCAGATCGCAAGCGATGCCTCCGTACAGCCGTACTCCTGGCCCTTGGTGAGGAGTGGAACGGCCTGCTCGAAGTCACCAGCCAAGAAATACACCAACCCCTGGCGGAAATACGCGGTGGAAATCTGTTCTCTGTTGCCTCGGGACTCGGCCACTTTCAATGCATTGTCCAAGTCAGCGAGCGCTTCGGCGTACTTTTGCATCTTCTGGAATGCAATCGATCTTTGGATCAACGCTTTGAATGCGTTTGGGTTCTCCGCCAACGCGGCAGAGTACGCGGTGACTGCTTCATCAAAGGATTTCTCGTCGGCGTATTTATCACCCAACTTGATACTGTGCTCAATTGCCATTTTGGTTAGAGATAGCTGAACGGTATGGAGGAAGCAGAGCTGAGGGTTTTTTTTTTTGATAGTGGCGTGTGTCATCCTGCATTGAAGGTGGACCAGAACAGGGGCCAGCCGCAGACCTCAGGAGAGGCTACCCCGGGGGATTTGGACGGCAAGATAAAGAAACGAAATACGACAGAAATAAGTCATGTAATGTCAGCATCATGATATATTGGATTAAAAAGATATTAGCATATCAAATCGAGCTGTAATATCGTTCTTTTGAGGATCTCTGCCCGAGGTTGTTGAAAGCTACGCAGCCGTACCATCCATGCGAGCTCTCAAATTACCAAAATGCTGAAAATACTTTTATATCTGCGGGTTACACCATGAAATTAAACACGATAGACTGGCAGCTATGGGTTTAGGCCGGTAAACTTTGATTGAAAGAGAAACGATAAATAAGGAGATCTCAAATAATAGGTATCGCAAGAGCATAATGGTTCTAGGGAATCCCGCTTAATGGCGTTAACGGAAAGCTCGCCGCAAACCCTCAAGTACGTATTGGTTATGGATTTTTAGTCTACGGGAAAGGAATTTGGAAAGCTTTCTGCCTCCTGGTCTATCAGAGCTTATCAATATACGTAGGATAACCCCACTCGAGGTCATCCTCCTAGGTCTGGTGGGATGCCCCTCTATCTGCCCCACATGCATCTCTGCCAGCCCCGTTAACTCCTGTGCTAACTTTGCTATAGCCGATCATGCTACAAGTATGGGTTAATCCCAACTACTCTGAAGCCTATTGAAAAATACAAATTACACGACAAAACAGTGTTTTTAGGAGACCGTTAGAAGTTAGACATGTCTCAAACGGCCTAACGATGTTATATGCATCGCGCAGCGCAAGTGGGGCCCGTGAATTTGTTGGGAAACCAATTCCGACTAAGCCCTTTCGTACATTAAGGAATCCAGGGTGAGCTGGGCTAAAAATGAAAAACGAAACAAGTACGCACGGAATGTAATTTGGCTGTCTTAATTTCTTTCACTGAAAGACTTGCTCCGTGTTTTGTTAACGTTCTACGGGGCTCAAAACTGGTTTAATTACTTTGGTGTTGCTTTCTCATGATGCGCGGCCCAGACTCGCCGAACTGACCTCTTACATGCTTAAGCCATGTGTGCGATAGAGATAGCAGATTGTATTCTGGTATAATATTCTGTTGAAAGGGTGTCGTCTAAGATAGGATCAAGCCAAAAAAGCGAAGCTAAAGATAATACTTAAGGTAAATGTAATCTGTTGATGCTTCGTGAGCTCTCCTGGGAACACCGCTAAGCTCGGTACACTATGGTATGTAACTAGCACGCACTCAGTTTCTGGGCCATCTGGTGATTTTCAGAGCAGGGGTCCTAAACAAAGTGACCATGACTTTAGCGTCATTTTCTCTCGCCCTGGCTGAATGTAGTTTAAATTGTCGGACAATGCTAGGCGATCTGACATATTGACCATGGTGTAAACGTCGCCTTCTGCGTTAAGCCTGAAAAATACCCAGGAGATAGTACGACAGTCATGGCATTATATCTATCCCTCGAAATCCAGTAACGTAGATAAAGTCATATAATAGCAAGTTAACAACTTGAAACATCGTAATAATTTCGTTCACGAAATAAAATAAAAAAAACTAGTTCTATCCCCTATATCTTTTCATCCTCTCTCGCAGCTGCC